TCTTGGAAATTATGTTATACTTATTATGTATATTATACATCTATTTTTAAAGGATAATCTTAGTTAATTAGTTTCAAATGTAAATCCGTAAATATGCCCATTTTAATTTTAGGCAAAAATGTTACACCATTTAATATTTGATCTATTTTTATATAAAAATAGAATATATATAAATATATATATATATATATATATATATATATATATATATATATATATATTTATATATATATATTTCAATTTTTTTTAAAAAAATACTTTATTCATTTTATGTTCTCCATATAATATACAATGAAAGTAAATCAGGACTTTTAAACTGAATAGAGTTTTTTTAGAATTACTTATAAATAAATTACATATCAAATAATATGTAATTCAAAATATTTTAAAAAGTTATTTAAAAATCATCAATTTATTAAAATTTTTAAGAAATCTAATGATTTTAAATATCAATAAACTCGAATTATTTTTCATTTAATTAAATTAATTATTTAAAATTGGAAATTTCTTATTCTTCGTTTTCTTATACATCATCATCCGGTTAGTTATTAATTTACATATATGATTTATTTGCAGAACAAAAAGAAAGAGATTTTCTAAGAGTTCGACTTTTTTATATTTCTAGTTTATTATATTTTTATAATTATAAATTAAAATATTAATCTTTTTCAATAGATTTGTAAACATCTGGTATTTTTTTAAATTTCCAATTTTTTTCAATAATTATTATTTAATTAATTTATAGATTCTCAAAGAATTTTATTTATTCTTATTATATATCATTTTAGAAAAATTTTAATTATAAATATTATAAATTCTAATTGAAAAAGTTATTAGTATCTAAATTAAAGAATTTCTTTACCTTTTTTTTTAATATATATATATTTATAAAAAAATAAAAAATACTTAAATTTTTTAATGAAATCTAACATATCTAATCCATTATGTATCCAAACATTAATATTAAAATAAAATTTTAACTTTTTAAAATTAATCAAAACAAGCTCTTATATAGAAATTAGAAAAATAGCTTTCATTAGGCTAAATTATAACATTTTTTAAATGTAAAGTTTTTTAACCAAAAATTTAAGAATTATTAAAATAAATAATTATGTTAGTAATAGGCAAATTTCCTGTATTTTTTAGTTCTAAAGTTTTTTCTTTTATTTCCCCAAGTAAAAATTCTTTATTTTCATTTTTATCAAAAATTTCCAGTTTTCCTATTTTTGGTAAAATAATAAACTCATTTTCTTTAAAAAATTAATTTTTATTAAAATAAAATTTCTCGTTTAATTATTTAAATATTATCCATTATAATCCTTATATTTTTAAATTTCCCTCTTCTTTTGGAATTAAGGTTATACTCAAATCTATTGTTTGTTAATTTTACATTATAATTAATTGATGTATTTCTTCTTCTATGTATATATGATTTTCCTCTATTTCTTTATTTTTAGGAATAAAAGTATATATTAATTTTAATTTTTATATGTAAAAATTTGTTAAAAGAGGATTTTTTAATTAAAGGTTAAATTAAACGGGTTCATCTATGAATATATGTCTTATAAAATTATTTGTCTTAAATAATTTTTATCTTTCTTCTATTGAGGTAAATGAAATGGATTCTAAAATAAATTACTATTGTAGTAAGTGTATTTAATTTGATTTTTTTCTTTTAAATTTAAAGAAAGTATTATTCCAATTAATTTATTTTTATAAATTGATTTTTTTATTTTTTTAAAAGAAAATTAAAGATTTTTGTTTCTTATATTTAAAAGAATTAGGAATATAAATAATTTCATCTAAAATTTAGATATTTAAATTTTTTTAATTTATTATTGGAATTTATATTTGAACTTCGTTTTCATCTATTTAATGGAGTATTTATTAATCTAAATTACTTAAAAAAATTATCATATTTTATATCAAAGTTTCATGATTTTATTATTAATCTTTTTATATTTTTTTTGTTTAAAGATTAAACATTAATTTCTTAAAATGAAGAGCCATTTAATGCTCTTCTACTTTTAAACAATATTCAGTTATTTATTTGCAGACATATATTTATAGAATATCCCATTAGCTATTATTTAGAGCAGTATGAACAATTATAAAACATCTTATTGAATGTTTATGGAAAATCATTTTTTCATATTAATAACTTACTATTACTAGATTTTGACAAAACTTTCTTTTTTAAGAAGGCAATATTTTTAATTGCATATAAGAATATTATTCTTAGAGTAAAAGTTAAAATATATCATGTTAATAGTTTTTGTCTTATTGTAAATAATATATTGATTAAAAAAGTTAATCTAATAATTATTCATTAAAAACATCATCTATTTTCATTTTTTTAAATTAATAAAAATAATTTTTGTGTGTTTTTTTTATTTTTTTACAATTATATTATATAAATATTTTAAAAATAATAACCCTGATCACAAAATTAGAAAATTATGTTTACTTTACATAAAATTCAATTGAGTTTTAAAGGGTATATAATATTTTTAGTATATCTTATTGTTTATAAGCGTTTGAATTTTCCAAATTAAATAGAATATAGCAATAAATTTCCATTTCTTAACAATTCGCGAAATGAACATGAGATTTTTCCTTTTTTTAAAAAAAATATAAATAAAGGAATATTATATATATTTTCTATTTTTTTTATTACTTTAATTTTTTTATTGTATAATTTATAAAAGTTTTAAGCTTATTCATAATCTTATATTAAAAAGTTTAAATCCCCTAAATATCTTAATATTATCTCAATTTATGTCATTTAATATATTTCTCCGGGTTTAGCCACTTATTTTTATTTCCAGATTTTTTTAAACTTATCTTTTAAAGAGGTTTTTCGCATTTAATATTACTAATACATGACTATTATTTTATTTTCTATATAAGAAATTATGCTTTAAAAAACTTTATTTTAAATAAAATCATCTGTTTAGAAATAATCTTATTAATTTAAAATTTTATGATCTTTATTATAATTAGTTTATTTTTGGTTAATAAAATATTTCTTTGTAATATTTTTTTGCCATAAATCAAAGTGAAAAATAGGATCTAATGAATTTATATTCAAAAATTAAATTATATAGTTTTAATACATTTATTGTAATAAAATAATTAATTCATTTTTTTCACTATCTTTTATTGGATTTGAAAAATCATTAAATAAAATAATAACATTTTGTATTTTGTTTATTTCTTCATTGCAATTATAATAAATATTATTGAGTTTTTATTTATTATCATTACTTATATTAATTATAATATATATATATTTATATAAAACAAAGTAAATAAAATTAAAAATTATTTATTATATTTTTTATATAATTTTAATTTTAAAATTATATCAAAAAAAATATATATATATTTATTTTATTAAATAGTTTAAAAATAAAAAAAAAAAAAATGTAAAATAAATAATGATAAAATCTTTATAGTAATATAATTTTTAACATTATTAATTTACATTTTATTAATTATAAAATATTCTTTTTTTTATAAAAATTGGAGAAATAAACTTTAGTTGATTTTAATAAAAAAAATAAAATAATAATATATAAATTAATATTTTATATTTTTATATATATTTATATATTTATATATTTATATATTTATATTTATATATTACTCAATTTTTTTTATTTAATCTAGAATATTATCTGTAATTAAAACGCAAATAAAAACACATACTGGATGATCCAAAAAATTTATATCATAGAAATATTTGCAATGCTTTAATATATTATTTTAATTTTTTAATTTTTTTTTTTATTTTTACATCTTGTAGTGTTAAACAACATTTAGAAAAATAATTATTCATAAAGCATTCATTATTTAAATTCTTTTTATTAATAATATATAAACTTTAGTTATTTTTATATATTTTAAAACATCTTTTATAAGTTAAGAATTTTCTGTCTCCATTATTTTTTATAGTTCATTTTCATATTATTTATAAGTAATATATTCATATTCAGTATCATCAACAAAGTTTAAATATATATTCTCTATTTTTCTTTTTGTATAATTAATAGTTAACTATTATGTTGGTTTTTTTAGTAGACCAAATGGTAGAAAATACTCCGCTGGGGTTATTCCTAACTTTAAAAAATATTATTTACATTTATCTGAAGCACTAACTATGCATTTAATGTTAAATTAACTTTTAAATTTTTAAATAATATTTTATTAAAAATATATATCCATATATAAAAAATAATTTATATTATTATTAGTATATTATATATTAAAATTTTTTATTTTATTTTTTTATTTTAAATATTTTTTTTTTATTTTATAATTTATTTTTCTTTTTTTTATATTAGAGAGACTATTTTATTGATTTATATATACATATTATTAAAAGTTATTCCAGATTATATTATTTATTTACTAAATATAATATTTTTATATCTATATAAAGTTAATTTTATTTACAATACATAATAATAATAATATTTATAGTTTTTATATTAAATATAAAGTATATATTATTATATATATGCATGTTTGTTTCTTTAAATATATCTATAATTTGCTTTTTTAAAAAAAATTAAATATTCTTAATATAAAAATATTAAATGTATGTTTAAAAATTAACCATAGATATATATATTAATTTTTTTCCAAAAGATTGTAAAAATTAAATAAAAATTACTAATTTATTAAATAAATATTTATGAACTCAAAAATAATAAATCATTTTATAAAAAAATAGATAATTAATAAAATGTTATTATAAAAATTAATATTATATAAACAAAAAAATACATTATATTAAAAAAGATTAAAAGTCTTAAAAAATAATAATTATCGAAAATATATAAATAAAATAATATAAATAAATAACTAATAAAGAATCCATTTTAATTCTTAAAAAAAATAAAATAAAAAATTTATAAAAAAAATAAAACAATATCCAAAAAATGCATAATTAATTATCACCTTTAAAAATTCCTAAAAGCCAAAGTTTCTTAAAAAAAAAGCATATTGTGCCAAATCCCGAGAAGAATTACTTGAAGAAAGTCATGACATAATCCAACCACAATCTTAATTTCGCCGAACAAAAATAATTGGAACAATATCAGATAAGTAAAACACTTATGAAAAGTTAAAAGACTTAATAAAGGCTGGTTTAAATATTTTTACAATAAATATGGCTTATTGTACTACCAAAACAGCAGAAGAATTAAAAAAATACCGAGATTAACTAGAAAAGAGTTAAATAAACAAATACCTATTATATGCACTTTAAAAGGATCATTAATTAGAATAGGGTTATTATAAAAGCCATAAATTTATTTAAAAAAAGGCTAGTAATATAGATTGATTTTACGTAATAATATTTTAGAGAATGATCATTACTGTGGAATAGATGAGAAAGAATTAGGTTAAAAGATAAAAATAGGGGATACTATAATTATTGATTATGGATAGATTTCTATGGGAGTTTTGAAAATAGAAAAGTCTTGTGAAAGTATTAAGTATTTAAAGGAAAATTGTGGGTATTTAAGTGATGAATTCCAAGAAGTGGAATCTCATTCGAAAAAATTAATTAATTAATAATGTTAAATAATAGGTAGTTCTTAAACTTAAATAGAAGGAGATTTTGTAAAAAATGTATAAAAAGGAGATTTTTATTGTATTTATGAAGATGAAAATAATGATAATTTATTTGCTTAAAAATTTAAATAAAATAAGAAAAAAGAGAAAAATTATAAAGTCATTGTTTGTTAAATTGATAATGATTGTCTTTTGAGATCACATAAACCACTTTTTATTTATTAGAAGAAAATGCCAAGTACTAAATCTAATTTTATAATAAGGTAAAAGCTAATAGAAAATATAAAGGAAAATTAAAGAGAGTAAATTGTAAGTAGTGAAGATGAAGAAAATTTCAAAGAATAAGAATTTTGTGAAGATGATGATGATTATTATGATGATGATTAGGGTAATACTAAATATTTAAATAATATATATATATGAATATATATAAATATATAAATATATATATATATGTATTTAAACATATGTTTATATATATACATAATATTTATATTTACAAAACTTTTTTTTTTTTTTTTAGAATTTATAACACCAAAAGATATAAATGATATTAGTTGGTGTGTTGATAATAATATAGATTGCATATGTATATCTAATGTTCAATCTTCTAAAAATTTAAAAGCTGTAAAAAATATAATTGGGAAAAATAAAAATAGTATATCATTAATAGCTAGAATATAATCTAAAGAAGGTATATTTTTATATAAAAATTAATCCGCATAATTATAATAGATATAAAAATATTAATTATATAATAAATATAAATATATATATATATATAGCTGTTGAAAATATAGAAGAAATAATAAAAGAATCTGATGGCATATAAATAGCTAGAGGATATTTAACTATACATATGCCTGTAGAAAAGTTATTTGTATAATAAAGAGAAATGATAAAAAAATGTCATGAATATATGAAGCCAGTATTAATTTCTTGTAATATATTAAATTCTATGGTTTCCTCATTATTACCCTCAATGTCTGAAATAGGGGAAATATCTAATTTGGTAAATGAATATGTAGATGGTATCATTTTATCTTCGGAAACTTCATGTAGTACTAATCCTGTCGAGGCCATAAAAACATTAGAAAAAGTTTGCATTGAAGCAGAAAATATAAGAATTTTGGATAGTATTTATAAACTTAATAGCAGCTAATAACTTAGATCAGCTAAAACAACTATCTAAAGTTGTATTATTGAGTGTGCAATTTAAACTGCTTTTAATATTAATGCTAAGTTTATATTTGCGTTTACTACAAGGGGATATACGGCTTTGAAAATATCAAAAATGAGACCTTATTGTCCGATTTTAGCAATTACTTCAGATAAAAGAGTGGCTAGAATTTTAACTTGTGTATGTGGGATTTAAAGCTTGTTGATTGAGAGTTTAATAGGAACAGAATTTATAATGAAATAGATTATTAATATTTAAAAAAATGAAGGAAAGTTATTTCCAGGAGATTTTGTGGTAATTACTTATGGAGATATTGAAGATAAAGCAAATTAAACAAACAATATAAAGGTTATTATAGTAGAATGAAATTTTATTATTTAACCAAAAAAAAAAATTAAAATAAATATATATATATATATATTATTATATTTTTAATCGAATATTTAAATAAAATAATTTATATTTATATTTAATTTTAGAATTTTTTTTTTTTTATATTTTTTAAATAAATATTATATATATAATTATGAATACTAATGTGTAAGAAAATGCTAAAATTAAACGTTAATTAATTTTTGCAAATGATCTCATAGAATAATTACGTAAGGAAAATTAGGCAATAGATGATTAATTGCATTAATGTCGTTTAGTAAAACACAATAAAAAATATACATTTATTTAATATATATGAATAATTATAAAAAATAAGGAAAAAGAAGATTATTATAATGAATATTAGAAATTATTATAAGTAAAAATGCGTATAAATTAAATAATAAAATAAGAAATATAAAAAAGCAAAGAATAAGATAATTAAAAAATACAAAATTTAATTTAAGAAAATAAAAGATTAAATGATTAGACTAATTCATAAATGAGAAAAATTGAATAAATTGAAATTGAAAATAACAATAAAATAGAGACGATAAAAAGCTTGAAAAATCAACTAATGATGATCACTAATAGTCAATCTTAGGAATAAATAAATGAGGATATATGGGATTATAACGAAAAATAACATTTTGATAATTAAAACTAACTCAAAAAAAATATAGTCAATTTAAAAAGAATATAATATTGTATCAGTATAATTAAATAATATTTTAGCAGAAAATAGGGTTTTAAGAAAATTAGCAAAGGTGCCAGATAATTATGGATTTGATATAGAATAAATAAAAATTAATGATTTTAAAAGAGTAGAAGATTATAAAGCTGAAATTAGATATTTAGTTAAAGAATAAGAAGAATTTGAAGGTGAAAGAATTTAATTAAGAAATAAAATTAGAATTCTTTAAAATATGCTTGATAAGCATCCATAAGGTGAAAGATATGCAAATTTAACACCTATAGAAATGTAAAATAAATATATATATATATATATATATATATATATATATATATATATATATATATATATAAAAAAAAATTTAAAATATATATTATTTTTCTTTATAATTATTTATTTTATTTATGTATTTTTTAATAATTAGATAATAAGTAGATGAATTTGTTCTTAATTTAAAAAACGTTTTAGTTAATAAAGATACACATAATCATAAATAATGCTAGTTGAAAATTTAATTATTAGAAGAGAAATTAAAGGAATTACAAAATTAATAAGTTAATTTAGATGATGATAAAATAAATTATTTAGCATAATTAGTATAATTATTTATATATATACCTTATTTATATTTCATAACTTATAAAATTATATTTATTTATATTTAATTTAGAAACATTCAGATATACTTTCGATTATTAAATAAAACGAAGATTTAAAAAAAGCTTTGGAAATTATCACTGATTAATTATAAAATATAAACCAGAAAAGGAATTTGAAATCTAATAAAAATTAACCTGTTTAAAATATAAATTAAATAGATAATTAAATTTAAAATTAAAATTAAGATAATGATTATTTAGCTAAATGGCCTGAACCTATTCCTGGTATATAATTTAATTATAAAGATATTTCTACTGTTAAATCTTATCGATTAAATTAAATTATTCCTGCATAATTAATATAATTTTAAAATGATTCAGGATTCGATGTAATGTTAAGTAAGTTTTAAGTTAGTTAATTGCAAATTATGAATATTGAATTAATGCATATAGTATCCTAAAAAGAAAAAGAAAATTTAATAATCAAAGAGGAATTGGAAGAAATGAGAAATTAGTTTAAATAATGTCTTTTAATATAGGATAATTTATATGAATAGTATTTTGAAAAAAAGGAAGAATTTCTAAATAAAAATAAGATTTTATAAAAATAGATTGACGAAAAAAGTTAAGAATTACTTCTAGTTTAATAATAAATTTAAGAATATATAAAAAATCAAGCATTATAATAAAATAATAATTAAGGACAAATAAAATAAAGAATTTAAGAATTAACTTTAAAAAATTCTAAATTAGAAATATGCTTAGTTAGGTTAATTATCATTTTTATTATATATATATATATTAACTTATATATAGGTTAAATAGATAATATCAATGTATTAAAGATGAATATAATGAAATGTCGGAAAGTTATTAAAATTATAGCGTTGAATTTTGTGAAAAAGAGAAATTATTATTAAATAAAATACATTAATTAATGGGTTGGAAAAGTAAAGCATAGCATTATTTGAAAACTCTTTTAATAGAATGTAATAATTCAATTCCTAAATCTGATCATAATGAGTTAAGAAATTAACTAGATAAATATATAGAAGAAATAGTTCTTATTAAAGAAAAAATGCTACATATTAATATCAAATATAATAAATAAAAAGTTAGAAAAATAAAAAAATATATATAAAAATAAAAATATATAAAATAAAAAAATAGATTTTGAAAGATAAGTATTTGAAAAAAGTAGGGAAACATAGTTACTAAAAAATGAATTAATGGATACATAATTAGAATTAGAATTATCAAATAAAATGCTAGAAAAATCGAATCCTTTATTTAATAGATTCTAAACTGCTTTTGGTAAAATAATTAAGATAATGCAAGAAAAAAATTAGCCCAAACAAATTAATTTAAAAATAATCTGTAAATCAATTAGATTAAACTTATATAACTCTCGAATAATTTAAATAAGTATTTTAATCTTTCCGGATAGATTTAAAACCTGATGAAGTGGAAATAATATTTAAGTATTAATTATATATAAAATTATATATATAATATATAAAAATATATAAATATATATATATATATATATTTTATATATATTTTTATTTATATATATTTAATCTACTAAGATTTATAGATAATGACGGGAATAATATGATAGAATTACAAGAATTCATTCGTAAAGCAAAAAGAATGGGTTTAACAGTTCGTTCACACCACGATGAAATAATATATGAATTATGGGATTAATTTAAATAAGCTGGAATTACATTAGATTAAGCCTTCACCTTATTTGATTAAAATAAAGAAGGATAAATTTCAAAATAAGAAATGATGTCTTAAATATAAATTTTAATAAAAGAAATTAAGAAAGAAACAATTGATTATATTTTTTAAATAGCAGATACTTCTGGCGATGGGAAAATTACATATAGTGAATTTTTCGGACTTTTTGAAAATAATATTTAAGAATTAATTAGATAGGAGGCTATTAAGGAGATGTAAGATTTAAGTTGGGAGAAAAACTTGGCATTAAAAATAGATGAAAAAATACACTAGAAAGATTTATATATTAAAGATTTATATACACTATTGGATATGGATAATAATGATTAGATTAGTTTAGAAGAATTTTTCGGACTTTTTTAAAAATTGGAAATTTAAATAGAAGATGAAGATGCGAAATTGCTTTTTTAAGATATAGATGCGGATAATTCTGGCTATATAGAATATAATGAATTAATTAATTATATAAGAAAGGCTTAGAGTGAGAAAATTAAAATTATAAAAATGTAAAAAATATAGAATAAAATTTAATAAATAAGTAAGGATTTTACATAAAAAACTTAAGAGTTTTTACAACTTTAAGAAGGGAATAATAATTAGATTTCTTCCAGTTTATCAAGGGAAGAACGATTTGAGATAGATTTTTAGTTGATTTAGTTAAAAAATAAGGCTTTGGTTGAAAAAAGTGAATGTTTAGAACTTTTTATAGCTAGATGTGAAAAAGATAAAGCTAAATTAGAACTTTAAATTAAAGATTTGGAGGAAGAATAGAAATCTAATGGGAAAAAAATATAGGAGTTGTTAATTTAGAATAATATATTAGTAGAATAGGGATAAAATGTATTAAAAAGTTAAAAAATTAAACAAGTTCATGCTCTAAATTAAAAATTAATTAAATAAAATTTAGAGTTAAAAAACTCTAATAATACATTAAATACTTTGTATTAGTTTGCAAGCGATTAGGTTAAATAATTACTTGTTTCAAATTAAAAAATTTAATATGAGTTTAATACTTTGAGAGATTTAGTTAAGTTTTTATAAAGTTTAAGCGATGAAAATGTTGTTTTGGGGAAAATTTAACACTAATTGATGATTTCGAGGTTTAATTAGGGATTAATTGGATGTAAATATGAAAAAGTTTTGAGTTAATTCGAATAAGCGAAGACTGAAATTATTAATTTAGAAGGAACTATTTAAGAATTGGAAACCGAAAATATCGAAAATAGGGAAATTTTGAGGTAAAAAATAAGCTTTTATGAATAATAAATATCAGGTTTAAGGAAAAAAATAATCCCGTGTATAAATATGGGTAAAATTGAAAGAATGTATAGGTAGATTTGCGAATTAAGTACATAAAAAAGTAATTTAGAAATATAAAATAATAAAATAAGGAATGAAAATAATGAATTAAATATAAAATGTGATTATTTTGAATATTTAGAATAAGGATTATAGGAAATGAAGAATTTTATTAAAATAGATTAAAATGAGGAATTTTATAAATTAAAAGTAATATAATATGCTACTTAAGTAAATGAACTGAAAATATTAGAATTTTAATTAAAAAAAGATAGATAAATTAATATTTAATAGTAAGAATTTTATTAAAAATAAATGAGATAACATATAGAACATTAAACTTATTTGGAAGTAGAATTAGATAATGTAAATAAAAAAATATAATAAAGAGAAATTTTCTGGTAAAAAAATATGAAGAATTATCTAATATTTTAATAAGAAATACTAATAATAATGAAGTTATTAATATATTAGAAAAACCTTAATAATCAAAATTATTAAATATAGAATTTTAAAATAATAATAATGATTTATAGTAATAGTATTAATAAGTTGTTGATGATTATAAAAATTAAATGGAAAATTTCAAAAAAAATGAATTTGAATTAAAAAATTCAATATTATAAAAAAACATAGAAATTTAAAATTTGGAAAATGAAAAAAATTCTATATTAGAAAAATGTTTGTAATTGAAAAATATTATAAATACAGAAATTGTTTAATAATAATAAGAATAATTCATAGCTCTTACTGCTTAGAAAACTATTTAAACACTACAAGGAATTATAGATGATAAAGAAAAAGCTTTGGAAAGAAAAGATATTTTTATAGAATAGTTGAAGAATAATTTTAAGATGGAAAAAGAAAAAGATAATAATTAAATCAAATGTCTTATATAAAATTCTGAAAATAATAATAATATTAGTAACTAAAATGTTTTACCTTTAAAATAAATAAATAAACATTAGATAAAAATTGAAACAAATCAATATCTTGAAGAAATATAGGAAGTATTAAAAGAAAAAGATATGGCGTTTGAAGAACTATTAACATTAAAAGAAAAAATTGAATTAGAATATAATATATAAGAAGAGAAAATGAAAGCAGTAATATAATATATAAAATATAAAAAAAACCATATAAATATATAAATAAAAAAATAGATATATATATAATATATATATATATATATATATATATTTATATATATTTATATAAATATTTTTTATATATTATTTAATAATTAGTAAAATGAGAAAATAATAAATTTATAAGATTTGTTAAGTGCAGAAAAATTAAATAATAAAACTGATAAACTAGAATCATAAATTAAATATTTAAAAAGTATGATTTAAGACCGTAACCTTTCGATATAAGAAATAAAGACCTCTTTATAAGAATTAACTATTGATCATAAAAATGCTATAGAGGAAAATATTGAAAAAGAGAAAGAATTTAAAGAATAAATGTTAAAAGAATAAACTAATTCTGAATTCTTAGAAAATGAATTAAAGAAATCTTTATAAGCAATTAAAAAGATGAATTCAGAAATTGAAAATTTAAAATCCGAAGTTAAAATTTTATTGTTATAAAGTTAATAAAATAAAAGGGAAAATGAAAAATTAAAAAAACAAAATGATTAATTAAATACTTAACTTGGAAATGGAGTTTTAGCCTAATATGATAAAAAAAATAGGAAGAAATAAGAGATTCTTTTGGATGAAAATAAAGAAAATATTAAATAATTATAAGATTAAATAAAAAAGGAAAATAATAATTACTTAAATTCTTTAAAGACTATTAAAAAACTTGAAGAAGATATTAATTATAAAAATAACCTTTTGGTTTAAAATCTAAACGAAATATAAAATAATATATATTAAGATTAAAATAATTATCTAAAACCTCCCAACAAAGAGAGTTTTTCGAAAAACGGGTAAGAAATAGCCTTTGTATTGAAAAGTTATATATAATAAGTTAAAAAAATTAACCTTTTTTAACTTCTTTATTCTTTTAATTCTTAGAATATTTCACGATTGAATTTTTTTTAGGCTTTAAATTAAAATGGAATATAGCTTAGAGGAGAAGATGAAGACTGCTTAGTTTTATATATTTAAAATTATTAAAAAGATAAAGTTTTTGAATGGAATATTTTTGATATTTATAATGCTGTATATTGCTTATAGAGTTAAATTTGTTAAACTGACAAAATTAAAGAAAAATAAGAATAAATTCCTTTAGAAAATACTCTAGAAAATAAAAAAATAACTGTTTTTTAAGATGTTTCTCGACTTGATTTTGTAAAAAAAGAAGATTAATTAAATAAAAAAAATGATTTGTTAAAAATTTAACTAAATTCAATGAAAGATGAAAAGGAGCAAATTTAAAAATAACTAATTTATAAATAGGAATAATATAAAAATTTAGAAAAATAATTACATTTAAATGCTAATAAAACTTTATTTAATAATAATGATTAATAAAATTAAAATATTCCTGAATAAGATGGAAATTAATAAGTAATATTATTTATTTATAATTATATTTTATTTGTTTGTAATAATTTATATACATTTTAATAGTTTTAATTAAAAGAATAAGTTTTCTAGTTATAATTAAAAATAAGTAAATAAGAATAAGTTTTTATTTCTAAAAAAGAAGAAATTAAAAATCTATTATAGGAAAAAGAAGAATAAAAGAAATAAATTAATGATTTATAAGTAAATTTTATTTCTAGTTTTTTTCTTTTTTTTTATTTGATATTAAATAATTTTATTTTTAAAAAGTTAAACAATACTGTTTTATAAAATTAACTAGAAAAAATATGCTAATAAAAATTAATGCCAGATTAAATAAAAGACATATTTATTTAATAAAAAGATTAACTTATTAGAAATTTAAAAAATAATTTAATTTAAGCCAGAAATAAAGAATAAGTCATTATCTAAAAAATACAAGATTTAGAAAAATAAAATAATGTATATAATTATATTTTCTTATTGTATTTTTTTACTTTTTATTAAATAAAGGAACTTAATTATATTAAAAAAAATTACGATCAGAATATAGAAATTCTAAATAAAAGAATAGAAGATTTATAATAATTCAATAATACTAAAAAATCAGAAATATAATATTCAACTATAAAAAAGTTCAGAAAATGATTGATATTAATAAAAATAATATATATTATGTCAATATAAATAAATAAATAATAAAATTTTGTAATTTTAGATAAATATAATACCTTTTATAAAAATATATAAGTTATTCTATATGTAGGTATAGCCAAAATAATTGCAATACCATAATTAAATATTTTTATATATAATATTAAATTAACTATAATAATAAAAAAAACTATTAAACATATAAATACCATTTAAAATATAATACTATTATATATAAATATAAAGTGTTAAAATTTTTTAATTATACATATATATTATAGAAATATATTTTACTTATTAAATTATATATATTATATACAATATTATATAAAATATTTTATTTTTATGGCTGATGAAAATTATTAATGTTATGTAATTTATAATATATAATTAAAATATTTATAAGAATACTAAATAATGAAAAATATATATTATTTATTATTTAAAAAAAAATTGTATAATTGGTATAATACAAATAAATTTAAAAAAAATATTATATTTAAAAATAATTGGAAATTTAATATTAAGAACTATATAAGTAAAATAAAAATTAAATTAGATACAAATTATTTTTTTAAAAAAAATATGGAATTTATAGAGTAAAATTTGTTAGATATATATAATTAAATATTTCATGTAAAAATAAAATTGTTCAATTATCAAATATAATTAAAATAAAAATAAATAATACGATAATAACTAAAAAAAATAAAAAATAAAAATACAATAAATATATATATAAATATATTATATATATATTATATATAATATTTAATTTTAATTATATATATTAATATATATATATATATTAAAAATTTATAAATAATTTCATAATAAAATAAAAAATGGATATTGATTTTAATTAAATATGTGATTTTAACCCAAAAATCGATTCCAAACCAAAAATTCAAAATTAATTATTAGGCTATTGTCAAACAAAATAATATAAAAAGCGAATGCTTCCTTACGACCCGTTTGATTTTAATTTAATAATTGAATTCGAATTAGCAAAAGATTAATTTCAAAAGTCAATAAGTGACAGTTAAATATTCCAAGAATAGTTAAAATATTTAAAAAGTGAAAATAATATAAAATACTGTCTTGAATATTACAATTTCGAGGAGAAAAAATAAACAAAAAAATATGAATTAAACACCTAAATTTTAAACACGATTGGTAAATCAAGTAAAAATAATTTAAAATTGAATGACAAATCTATTTCATAAAAACACTCTGAAATATAATTTATAAATAATTAATTTTATTTGAAAGATATGGGTAGTTCTTGTGGGACTTTTTTGAGTTTAAAAGATTAAGTATATGAGTTAGATGAAGGGAAGATTTTCGAATGTGGAAGTAACGAATTTAAAGTTCAATCAATTGAGTGTTTTGAGGATTTCGCAAAGGTTATTTTAGTTATTTATTAAGGGGATATACAACTTATGAATAAAAATAATTAATATTTGTGTAAAGTTAAAAAAAATACCCCTTTTATTATTGGGAAGAATTCCTTTTGTCAACTTTCATTTTCGAATGATGAATTTTTGAGCGATTATCATTCTAAATTAACCTTTAGGAATGGAAAAATCACTATTACGGATTTAGATTCAACATATGGGACTTGGATTAGGCTTTCTAAATGTAAAGAAGAAAGTGAATAAGTGTAGATTTTTGTTGGAAACGAAATAAAAATTTAACCATATGTATTTACATTTAAAGCTTTTAAAAATTAAAATGAATCCATGATAGAAATAGAACCGGTTTAATATAGAAAATGTGTATTTTGTGCGGAAAGGGATTGTAATATATTAGTTTATCCGTGTTAACATGCCAGCTTTTGTGAATAATGTTTACATAATAGTTAAATCAAAATATGTCCAAGGAAGGAATGTTAGAAAAAAGTACTTTCTATTGAGAAGTTTTTTATTTGTTGATTATTTTATAATAAATTAATGTTTATTTATTTATATATATTTTTTAAATTGAAACTATATATATATATATATATATATATATATATATATATATATATATATATATATATTTATTTATATTTTTAACGAAAAAAAAAAAAAAGTTTTTATCATTTTTTATTAATATTTATTTACGATTTAGATTTCTTTAAATGTAAAGATAATTATTTCTTACTTTCTGAGTTCTTTATTTTAGATAAGTTCTTAGAACTAGTATTTGAAGATGGATAATTTTATTTTTTTCTTATTTTTATAAGGTTAAAGACCTATTTAGTGTATTTTTAGTTTAGTTTTCTATATTATTATAACTTTAGATTAAATTAGTTTAATATGATTTTAATTATTATTATTTATAGAAAAAAAGTTGAAATTCATTCAATTTTTCAATAATAATTTAATTTTATAATTATTAAGATTATAATTATTTTTATAATTAATCAATATGATTTTAATTGTTGAATTATTATATTTTATTAATATCTTATTAAGAACTATTTTTAAATTGTATTTCATAATCAGTTTTGATTTATTCAAATATATTATTATTATTATTATTATTATTATTATTATTATTATTATTATTATTATTATCATTGTTTGTTTTATTACTTTTAATACTTATTATGTGTTATTTATTGTTTTATTATGTATTAATTTTATTACTGAAATTTATCATATTATTTTCTAAATTTTTATTTTTTAACTATAAATCAATTACTAATTATTCAAGATTATTATTATTTTTTTATAATAAATATATTTCTTCTTATTATTTTGCTTAAATTTATTATAAATTTAACATTTTTTTTTTAATTCTTTATTTTCTTTTATTATAGAATTGGAATTTAAATATGTTTCTCTAATTTCATTATTTTATTTCTAATATTAATATATATCTATTATTTCTTTTTTAATATTTTATTATTTATTTTCTTTTTCTTTAAAATATTCATCAATTTTATCTTATATTTTTTTTTCTTTTTCTTTTATATTTTTGTTTATTATTAAATTATTCAATTTATTTTCAATATTAAATAAAAGTTCAGCGGTTTAATCAATTTATTTGCAATTTTGACTAAAATTTTACTTATTTTATATATTACTAAGATTTAAATTATTTATAGGTGATGACATATTTTTTTAATTTTTAAATTTTAAAAAAATTATATATTATTTAATTTAAAATTTTATATAATTTTTTAAATAGTTAAATATTTATTATAAAATAAAATAATAAATGATTTTATTATAAAAATTAAATTTATTAATAAATATAAAAATTAAAAAAATATTAATAAATTAATAAAAAAAATAAAAAAAAAATTATTATATTAAAATATAAATTCATTTATAAGAGAAAAATTTTAAATATAAATGAAAAAAATTTATATAAATAAAATTATATATATATATATTTAAAAACAAAAATATATATATATATATATATATATTTTTTATAATCATAATATATTATATGTTATTCTTTATTTCATATATTTCCATGTAAAAGTATTTTTTTTATTTTCTTAATTTTTATATTGCTATTATAAATATTATTATTATTATTATTATTATTATTATTATTATTATTATTATTATTATTATTATCCATTTTTTATATTAAAGAATGTTTAAACTTTATTTTAAGTTGCAATATCTTCAAAATATTTTATAAAATTATTTTTTTAAGCCCTTATATCATTTATAGATATCTTTTTATGTTATGGATCTAATGATTTTCTTTAATTTTAGTTTAATTTTTATTTATCTTATATGTTTTTCGTGGCTGACATCATAACTTTATTACTTATAAAATTTTATTTATTTTTATTATTTAATAAAGATTATTATACAGTATTTTTTTATGTGTTTTATATTATTTTCTTAAGAATAATCTCTTGATCCTATTTTAAATAAAATACTAGAATTTTTATTTTTTGTAGATTATTTTATTCAGGTGTTGTAGAAGTTGCTCCTACTTTTATTTCATTAATATATTTATTACTTAAATAATTTGTTTCACAATTTTTATTATTATTATTATTTAAAATTTAATTATTTTTAGAAGAGTATATATTTAAAAGCAAATCATCCTTTTTTTTTGTTGATTATCCACCTTTTTTTAAATTATTTTTTAATATAGTTTATGTAATTGGCCTTTTTTAATCTAAAATTTAATAGTTTGTTGGAGAATAACAAGGTGAAAGGAATCGTTTTTTTGTTTCTTTTTAGAATTAATTAAATTATTTCTTGTTTAAATATTTTAGTTGAGAAATACATCTAACCTTTTAAAAAAGTTTTAATTAAAGAATTATTTTTAGAGCAATATTTTATGTTTTTAGAACTTGAATTAATGCTATTATTATTATTATTATTATAATATTATTATTATTATTATTATTATTATTTACATAAGTGTTTATATAATTTTTACTTATATTATTATTGTTATTTTCTAACTCTTATATAAGTTCATAGATATCATTATTTTTATTTTTTTATGTTTAATTTAATTAAAAGTTTGATTTTTTATTTGAACATATCATCTATTTATTTAAATTAGTATCTGTATTATTTCTTTTTTGTGAAATAAATTATTTTAAAATTTATTAATTTTATTTAATTTAATTATTTTATTATTTATTATTAACACATGTATTATTATTACTATTATTCTTTGATTATGAATAATTAGCATAACTTTAATTTAAGATTCCATTATTTATTTAATTTCTTTGAGCTGACTATATAGTTTCTAATATTTTTTAATTATTACTTTAAGAATTACTTAAAGTTTAATATCCTTAAGTATATTCATTTATTAAATTTAAACTAGAGCTTGTTGTACTTTTGAAATTTTCTAATTTTTGAATTATTTTTTAACTATTATTAAAATTCATTTATTATATTTCTTAATTAAAATTTTCTTATATATTTCTATTTTGTAGAAAAATATTAATATTTAATTAAAAACAAAAAAATATATATTTAATATAAATATATTAGTTTGTTACTTAAAAAATAATTTAGATTCCGGATTTAAATAATAAAAAAATTTAAATAATGATTATTCATTATTATTTTTAGAAAAAACTTCTTTTGGAATTTCCACATTTTTAAATTCTTAATGAATATAAGATTTGTTTAATTTAATCTATATTGGTGGTTTAATTTTACATTATTCGATGTCTATCCAGTTTACATCTTTTAACCATTTCGATTTCTTTATTTATTCAAAAGATTTAATTCTATTTTATGGTTTTTTGTCCAACAATTAATACAATAAACATTTAAGGTCGTTATTTAAATACTAAGGAATAATTAATTCTTAATTAGCAATATTATTAAGGATTGTTTCTGTACAATCAGAGTAAAAAGGTGGTAATCCAGTCACTAATTCATGTAAAAAAGCACCCAAAGTATAAAAGTCAACTGAATAATTATAACCTTTTCTGGCCAAAACCTCTGGGGCCATATATTCAGGTGATCCGCAAAAAGAGTCTGTCATTTCTTCACTGTTCATGCCTATTTTTGATAATCCAAAATCTGTTAAATGCACGTAACCATCAACATCTAGTACTATATTTTCAGGTTTTAAATCCCTATATAGTATTTTAGTATTATGAAGTTACTCAAAGCATATTAAGATTTAAGAAAAGTAAAATTTAGACTCACTTTCGGATAATTTTTTATTCTACAAATGAAAAAAAAGTTCACCACCACAATAAAATTCTAATAAAAAATTTAAATGAGAATTAGACTCAAAACAACAATGTAAAGTAGCTATAAAAGGAGTTTTAGAAGCATCTATAAGGATTTTACGCTCTCTAAGAAGTTATTCTAGGCGTTTAAATTCAGTTAAATGAGTTTTTGAAATCATTTTTAAAGCAAATAATTTACATGATTCTTTATGTCTAACTATAAAATTAAAATTATAAGTTAATACATAATTAAATATATGAATATAAATAAATATATATATAAATATTTATAGATATATAAATATATATTTTCTTTATTCAATATAAATTTTTTTATTAAAAGATTAAAATTTTTATATTATTTTTTATTTAAAAATTAAAATAATGATTATTAACCTAAAAAAACATCAGATGTTCCTCCTTTTCCTAAACATTTTAAAAAAGAAAAATCTTAAATTTTAACATCTTAATTTGATTAGTTTTCATTTAATTTTTATTAATATACGCCTTTTAATTATGTTATATTTTTTAATTTAAATATTGGTTTATCTTCTTAAGTTAAATAATAATCTGCTACTTCGTTTCCGTTAAAAGTTTCTAAATATACGAGTCCTTAAAAATGAATTGGGGATAATTTTTTTGACTCTTATTTTACTAATTTTATTAATTAACCAATAGTTTATTCAATCTATATTTATATTTTAATCTCTTTGTCCTTTAAATATATTTAAAAATCTAATTATTATAAATCGTTAATAATTTTTTATTAAGGAGATAGACTTTTAATTTTTAAATTCATTTTTTTATAAATATTATTTTATTTTAATTAATATTATGTTTATATAGAAATTTAAATATATATATATATAATATATATAATAAATATATATAGAATTTTCAAAAATGAATTAATATTAAATAAACAATTAATTATTCACATTTTTATATATTGATATAGTTTATTTATTAATTATTTCTTCAATTTATACTTTAATAGCTATTACATTTAATTAATTTTTATTTGTTCGTGTAAATTTGCTTTTTAAATTATGAGTATTTCACTTTTTTTGTCAGTTAAACTAATTTATTTTAAATTTTAATAATTTTTATTTTTTGTATCATTTTTTATAACTTCTATTTTATAAAATATTTTTTATAAATTTATATTTAATTTAAATAATTTTTCTAAATATAAATTACTTTTATCAATTTAGTTATGGTTTTTGTAAAATAATTTAATTTTTTTTTCACATTATTCATTCTATAAATATTTATTAAAGTTAATTAAAATTAAAAAAAATATAAAATTTTATTTTAAAATTAATTTTAAAAAATTATATATACTAATCTTAATTTTAAAAATGGACATATTATATTATAAGCAATAATAAATTTTTAAAATATTCAAAGCTTTTTTAAAAAATATTAAAATCTAAATAAAATAATTAAAAAAAATATATATATATATTTATATAAATAATATTTATTTATATTTTTAATTATATATTTATTATATATATTTTTTAATATAATTTAATTTAAAATTAATTTTTACTTATTTATATTAATTATCTTTATATTAATTTGTTTATTTATTTTATTTATTTTTATTTATAATTTTTTTTTTAATTTTTTTAAATATCATCACTCTATAATTACTAAAGTTTGTTTGTAATATGAATATTATTATTATCACTCTTAGCTATATTTCATTTTTCTTTTTATTTTTTTTATCTTTGTAAATATAATTCATATTTTTATTATTCTAATGTTTTTCTATTTTTATTTTTTTTTAATTATATTTATTTAGGTAAATCTATATTATTTTATTTAACTAAATTTTGATTTTGACAATGGCTTTTTTTAAAAAATAAAATAAATTTAAATGTTTTAAAATAAATATAATTTTTTTTATTTATAGGTATATATTATATAAATAATAATAACAGGATAATCAAAATCGAATTTTTTAATTTATTCTTTTTAACTTCCCATTTTTATATGTTTTCTACTTATTTATATATATTTTATATATTATTTTTTATTTTTGTTTAGTTACATAAAATTCAGTAAATTAATTTATTTGTAAATTTTAAAATAATTAATCATTAAATAAATTTTATTTAAGAATTATATTATCTTATTAAAGATGATGTGGCCGAGCGGTCCAAGGCGGTAGATTTAGGCTCTATTCCGAAAGGGCGAGGGTTCGAACCCCTCCATCATCAAATATTTTTTATTTTTTTTAAAAAAAATTATTTATAAAATATTATAATTATTTAATATTATAAAAAATTTCTGTTAAGGAGTTAATTTTTTAGTTTTTATAATTTTTTTTTTTTTTTAAATATACTAAAAAACAATTTTTTGATATATGTATAATATTATTGTATTTATTTTTTCCTCTAAAATAAACTTTTTTCACTATTTTATTTCAAAATTATTTTTAATACTTATATTTTAATTATTTTATTAATAATTATAATTCGATATTCTAGCTTCTCCTACTCCATATCTTTAAATAGTATCATTTGAAAGTTAAAGTGCAACTTTTATTCTTTAATCTAATTCTAAATTATTATTATTATTATTAAACTCATAATTAGAAATATTATTATTAAATAATTAATTTTATTAACTCTAATTTTTGATATTATATTATAAAGGAAGCGTACTATGTTATTATAAATAAAAATAATTATTATTTAATTAAATACTATTTTATAATTTGTTTTCATTATAACTCTATTATTATTATTATTATAATTATTATTATTATTATAATTATTATTATTATTATTAATATTAATATTAATATTAATATTATTTTGAACTATTGAGCATTTTATGTTGCGATATTTAATTTATCTATTAAGTAATTTCAATAGTAGTAATTCTATCCAATTTAACTTACTAAATATCCTTATTTTGTTTTAAAATATTTTTTAATTTATATAATTCAATCCTCTCCTCTTCATTAAATGCAATCATTTATTAAATAATATTACTTAAAAAATCACCATATTAATCTTTTACTTTTTATAAAAGTTATTAAATTTATTCTTCATTTATTTAAAAAAATTCCTTATTGTAACAAATATCATCCACATCTTCTAATGTAGAAGCCTCCAAAAGACTCATCCCTATACAAAAAATCTCATTTGAGACTTTATCGTATGTAGGTTCAAATTTTCTATACCTTAAAGATTATAAAGCCTAAGGAGAAACATAAAACTCAGCTGTTTAGGACTAAATTAATATCTAAGTATATGCTGAAAGTGGTTCTGAATGTAAATAAAGCTCTCCTAATTTAATTTATCCAAAAGGGTCTATTAGGACATTAAAAGGTCGAATATCTCCATGTGTAACTTAATAAGAATCTAAATAAAAAACCACGTTTATTAAGGAATCTAATATATAATAAAGTTCTCCAAGTTTATATGGGACATTTATTTTTTATCTTTGTTTTATTTCGTGTTTTAAATCATTATTATAATATTCATATAATAGGTTAATTTTATATAAAGAAGTGCACATTTTTTCTTCTTTTTCGGAATTTAATTTTATTAGTCTTGTAAGGTTTGAATGACAAAGTTATAAACGAAATTGAAATTAAGTCATTAAATTCATAAATATCGTACTATTTTTTATGTCTTTGGTTATTTAAGCGTAATATAAATCGTCTTGAGTATTATTTTTTATTACATTTATTAAACCATAGTGTTTATCATTTAATTTTTAAAGTTAGGTGTGGCTTTTTTCATTATATAGAGGTTCGTTTATTAGGTATTAGTTGGTATTGCCCATTTTATTTTATTTTTTTTGGATTTTTTGTTTTATTTTTTTATTGCTATTTTATTTTATTTTATATTATTATTTAAGTATTATGTATTATTTTGCTTGTTTATTTATTATTTTAAAAAATAAAAAAAAAAAAACAAAAAAACAAAAAAACAAAAAAACAAAAGGAAAGGAAAGGAATTCAAATTAGGATTGATATAATAATATATACTTTAAAAAATTTTAAATTATTTATGTTTTTAATTGGATTTAGTTAATTAAATATAAAATAAATTTTATACAATAATATATATAAAAATATATATATATAAAATATATATATATATATATATATATAAATATATATATATATAAATTATATTTTATTATAAATTATATCTAATTACTAATAAAAATAATATTTCTTTTTGCTTTTAATTACATATTCATTAATATTAATTATTTATATATATTAAAATACTATCTGATATTAAAAGAATATCTTAATATATATAATTATATAAATTATCAAAAATAATAAAAAATTTGAAATTAAAAATAAAAATAAAAAATTGAGTAAAATAATAAAAAAAAAATTTAAATTAAAAAAAATAAAAATAAAAAAAATAAGCAAAAGTATGTCCCAACCCTTAAATAAACACAAAATTCCTGATCGAGTATTAAAATAATACCAAGAAATCGGTTTAAACCCTACTTTATTATAATAAGCCTGGGACGAATGTAAAGGAAACGAGAGTACCTTACTAGACTCTTACCAAAACCTCTATACTACCATGAGTTATAATTAATAAATCGAACAAGCTGAAAAACAATCATATATATAATAATAAAACTTACAAAAATACACTAATAATATGGACGAAGAGAAATAATTAAATTAAGCAATTTTAGAAAGCGTCCAAGAGGCTAAACATAAATAATTGATAATAGAGCCTTTAAATCCAGAATAGAGAATTAGAAAAGAAGGAACCCCAGTAGGTTTAAAAAATTTAGGTAATACATGCTATATGAATCCTCTTTTACAAATATATTTCCACAACGCATAATTTACAAAAGAAATAATGAATTTTTAACCTTTAAAAGAAGAAGAAATAAAAGGAAAAGACCAAAACTAATTAAAAAATATAAAATCATGTATTTAACTTGTTTAAGAAATGCAAAATCTATATGGGCATTTAATTGGAAGTGAAAAAATGTACGCTGACCCATCTGATATTGTGAAAAATATACTAGACGAAAACGGAGAATAGTATTAAATAGGCAATTAATAAGATATTGGTGAATTTAATATTAATTTATTAGCAAGAATAAACGAAGGACTTTTATATTCAAGAAAATAATAAGTTAAAAAATTATCTAATAGTAATAATAATAATAATAATAATAATATGGAAATGGAGGAATTAGTATATTCTTAAAATTTAAGCTAAAATAATAATGATGATATAATATCAAGAATTACTATAAATTAAGAAGAAAATAATAGTGAATTGACTGTCTCAAAAAGCTTTTAATTAAATATGAGTGTAGAAACTGTCGTTACTTAATAATTCTTTGGAAAAGTCTTTATTTAAATGAAATATATGCTAGGTGATTAATATCATTAGAAAGAATAAGAAGAAATATTTAATATTATTTACTTAGATATTAAACAAAAAGAACTCTATTATGCTTTAGATGAATATGTAATCAATAAAATAGATGAATATAAAAACGATAGGGGAGATATTGTTTAAGCTGATAAATATAATTGGATAAAAAAGGCCCCCAAGACCCTTTTTTTTTAACTCTAGAGGGTTATATATGATAAAGAGACTAAAAATTTGAAAAAAATAAACGATTTTTTCCAGATTGAGAAAGAAATTTACCTCGAAAGGTTCATGTATAGCCAAAAAGAAGCTTATTTGTAAATTTATTCTCAGGTAAAGAATTTAATTTTGGAAAAACAAAAAAATGAAAACGCTCTTTAGCAAATCTTAAACTATAAAAATTCAAATATTCCACTTTTTAATATGTGTAAGAATCTATATGATTTTCTTTAGGAAAATATTACTTTATAATAATAATAAAAAAAGGAAGATCCGGTTAACTTTCCTTTATTTTTTGACTAAAAAATCAATAATTCTTAATTATAGGCAACTATATCTGTTTTGGAGGAAAATATTTAAAAAATATAGGAAAGAGTAGACCTTTTATAATAAAAAATTAACTTCTTATAAAAAAATATAAGTCAATCTTACAATAATTTCAATAAAAATAAATACTATCTCCAAGCTATAATAATACACGATGGTGATGCATAAAGTGGGCATTATTATACTTTCATTTAAGATCTATAATAAAAAAAATGGAGGCGATATAATGACATTTAAGTCTCAGAAGAAACTGAAGAAAACGTCTTTAAGGAAGCCTCTGGTGGCTGGGGTAAGGCTAGTGCATATAGTCTAGTATACGTGACTTATGACAGTGCTATTCCAGTTGAAAATATGCCCATGAGGTTATATCAATTCCCTTCTAATGAACATAAGATTGTTGATTATTACTATAATTTATTATCAGAAGAACAATAGAATCAAATTTGTGTTGATAATTTAAAATTTTAAGAAGAAATAGAAGACTATCGGGCAAACAATCAAAGTAAAATAATCATAGATTAATATATAAATAGATTTGAGTAAACTAATGAATAATCAAGGAAATGTAAATTGAGTATAGAAAATACAAAAGGAGCTCCTCCTCCTTTAATTTAGCTATGCGTATATATAAAATTACATCCGAAAAATATAAACGGGAATTAATAATCATATAATAATATATACAAATGGCTTTTATTAGATTCCTGTGTATAAGAAGTGGTTAAAAATTAGAACCTGGGAAATTTAGAAAACTAGAAATTAAAAAGTAAACTCAAATAGTATATTAAGGGAATGGGTGAATTTAAGGCTCCTAAAGATATTATTTTGAATTAATAAGAAATGAACTTAGCCTAGTCATTATAGTAAGAGTTCTTTAATTAATCTATTAATGCAGAAGTTTGCATTTACGCAAAAAACAATGCACTTAAAGGAGAATGGAAATATTGCATGTAGGCCTTTAGTTATTTATATTATGTTAATAAGTATTATTTAGATGATAATAATGGGGATTTTTAAAATGATTATTTTTATAAAATGTGTAGAGATTCGAGATTGTTAATTATTTTTAAAATTCTGGAAATTTGTGAAAGGGGGGAGTGTGAAAATGTAGTAGAAATTATCAGTATAGTGTGTGCTTTTTATTAATAGTAAAAAAAAAATTAGAAGATAGATTTAACTATTTAGTATTGGATTAATGATATTGCAGAAAATATTAAATATAAAAACGATAAATCAGTATTAATTGATTTTGCAAATAAAATAGTTACATATGAAAAGTTTATTGAAGGTGAAAATATACTTAAATAAGTTCCTAATGAACTGTAAATAAGATTATAATAATTAAAAGATTAATAATAATGGAATGCAAATAAAACAGAAGACTTTTTATTTAATGAATTAATTGGAAACTTTTAGAAAATGAAAAAAGTATTCGATAAGTAGATTTAATTATAATCAGGAATAAGAAAAAGTAATATTCCTTTATTTAAAAATGATAGATAAGCTTATTTATGATTTTAATAATATATATAAATATATATATATATATATATATATTTATTATATATATTTATATATTTATAATTTAAAATTATTTTATATTATATTAATATTATCAAATTTTTTATTATTTTTTTTTTAAATATTAAGATTTTTTTTTATATATTTTATATTTTAATATAATATTTATTTATTAAAAACTATTTTATGGTTATTATAATAAATATTATTATTTAAAAAAATTAGTTAATTATCATTGTTTTTTTTCAAGTATATATTTATTAGCTACTAAAAAGTCAAATATTCCTGTTGCTCTATCTTTATCTTTTAAAAAATAAATATTATATAATTATTTATACTATAATTAAAATAAACCTAATTTTAATTTATTTTCAGCAAAATCTTTTTTTATAAAGTTTTCTTTTACGGCTTCTCTTACAAGTACTTCCTTCATAACTAAATATTCATAAGGAGATATATCTAATTATTCACACAAATTAATTTCCTTAAAAAAATATAAAAATACATACATATATATAAAAATATTTATAAAGAAAAAAAATTTATATTAATCTAAAATAAAAGTATATATAAATATATTTATAAATACATATATTTATATATATATATATATATATATATATATATATATATATTTATATATAATTTATATATATATATAATATGAAATCAAATAATTATCTAATACTTATTCAGATAAATTAAGTGAATTATCTTTTTTTTTTTCTGTTACCATGTCTTTATTCTATTAATTATATTTTAAATATAAAATAATATATTTATGTTTTTATATGTTACTTCAATAAAAGTATTTAAAGAACGTGTTCTTCGTGAATTAGATCTATTAGTTGCACTATTATTATTATTTGCACTATTAATATTAGGATTATTATTGCCACTATTATTATTCTAATTATTATTAATTTAATTAGTACTATTATTATTTATAATGGCTTTTTCATTAATAATTTTTTCATTTTGTTTCATTTTTTTATTATAAGTTTCATCATTTTTTCTTTTTTCATTTAAATAAATTTCAATATCTTCAAACGTATTTAATCCGATTTTTTTATAAGTTTTAAGTTCTTCAATTTTTTATCTTATTTGTCTTTCTTTTATAATTCCTTAAACTAATCTTTCATGTTCTTCTGGAGTACTAAATCTAGCAAAAACTTTCATCATATTATATATTTCTTTTTCTTCTTTTGATCTTTCTTTATCAAGATTATTTTATTTTCTTTTATTATTAATTTAATTTATATTTAAGAAAAAAAAAAATACCTAAAATCTAATAAACCTCTTTCTATAACAAATTTTTTCTTTTAACACGTTCATCTAGTCTAGCATTATATATTTCAAGCAATTTATATTTCATGGCAAGTTCATTAGGTTTATCATCATCGTTAAACTCCATTTCTGCTAATAAAAGTTCGGCATCATTATCATATTCAACTTCAAAATCACCTCTTAAAGGCATATAACCAATAGTTTCAGAAACATTTCCGCTTTAATTCATAGTATTATTATATTATTATTATTAATATTATTATTATTATTATTATTATTATTATTATTATATTTTATTATTATTATTTTAAAATAATGATTAATTATTTTAGTAATACCTCTTACATTTGATTTATTTTATGATTATTAAATATTTGTATTAGATTTCGATATTGTTTACAATTTTTTCTTTAAAAATTTATCTTCAAATATTTCATTATTAAGATTATTTAAAATTTTTAATTCTAAAGTATTTTCTTATCTTTCAGCAATAAAACTTAAAAATTCTTACTATAATAGATATATATAAAATAAAAAATATAAATATATAAATTTATATATATATATATTTATAAATTTATAAATTATAATACAGGATAAAATTATTTATTTATTTTGTCTAAATGATAATCTTCGTAGTGTTTTTCTATTTCCTCTTTTGTTTTATCAGTTCCTATATGATCTTAAACATCATTCCAATTTCCAAAACCATATCTCTATAATCCTTTTTATAAAAAATATTTTTATATAAAAATATATATTTTTATAGATAATTAATAACTCTTTAGAATTTTGAAATATAAATAATAAATTAAATTATTTTATAATTTTTGATTTAATTTATAACATATAAAATAAAAATAAACTTTAAAAATATATTTATATGTAATTATAATTTTATAAATAATTGTAATCATAAATATTAATAAATGTAAAATAAAAATTAATTATTATTTATATAAATTTTGTAAATATATATTTATTTATATATAAAAATATTATATATTATATATATATATATATATATATATATATATATATATATATATTGATATGTTATCTTAATTTATCTGTTATATTTTTTTATTAATATATTTTATTATATATATTTTTAATTTTATATTAATATTTTTTTTTCTATTTTTACCTTCAAATAATAAAAGTTCTTCCTCACAAGTCCAATTTTCGCTTATTAAAGGATAATTTAATTTATTTATTACATTATAGTCTTCTTCTATTTTATGATTATCAAATTCTATTCCATCTGCGAAACAATTTACACATATGTCTGCATTGGATAATGTACAGTATATTTTTACTTATTTGCTTATGTCTTTTTTGCAATTATCACAATGTACTTTGTTTGAAGGATAATATAAGTTCTATTAATAATTTTTTTTAAAAAAATTATTTTTAGAATACTATTATTTTTTACTGTATATATTGTATTTGGTTGAGATTCTTATTATGTTTAAGTTTGCTTCTTTTTGTTTTTCTTGCTTTTTTATTTTTTTTAAATTTTTTTTTAGTAAATTTTTAGTTAATATTTTACTTCTAATCATCTTTTTCGTAATAAAACTTCCTTTTTAAAAATAAATAATAATTTAAATATATAAATTATATATATGTTATTTTATTAGATTAAATTTTTAATTATAGACATTTTTACATTTTTTTATTTCTTTTCTTATAGGATGTGTTTGTTTTATTTTTAGTTTTATTTTTATATAAGTCTTTTATATTTAATTTATTTTTTTCTTTTATTAAATTTAATATTTGTAATATAAAATAAGAAAATTTTTTTTTTAAAATACTTCTATAAATTAAATTATACACAAAATCCAATTTAAATTAAAATTATTAAAATTTAAAATTTTATTTTCTGAAAAAAATAATACATATATATTTTTTTAAAATTGATTGATATAATTCTTAAAAAATTATAATATAAAATATACATGACTAATTCTTAAATTATTTAATATTAATTATAATTATTAAAAAATTGAAAATAATAAAAATTATTATATATATATATTTATATATAAAAATTTATATTATTATTCAATATAAATTTATTATATTTTATTTATTAATTATCATAAATACTTTTAAGCTATATTGTCTAAACAATTTTTTACTTATTTAATATTTAACCTTTATTATTCATCAATTAAGAGCATATTTTTTATAACATTCTTTAATTCTGGCCAAATTAATTCATCTTAATTTCCAAAAATAACATTTAAATTAATTATTTCATCCTTTAACAGCTTTTAATCATTTAAATTTTTAAGAGGCAAAAATCCATTTAAACAATAAAAATAGATGATTCCAAGGCTCCATACATCACATTTTAGTGAATAATTTTCATTTTTAATCATTTGAGGGGGCATATAATATAATGTTCCTACATTTTATCCCGTATTTTCTCCTTGATTTATTCTCGCAAACCCAAAATCAATTATTTTAATTTAATTCTCATGAAATAATATATTTTCTGGTTTCAAATCTCTATGGAAGACATTTAGGTCATGTAAATAATCACAAGAATTTGCTAATTATTAAAAAATAGGAAATGCTTATTATTATTATAACCTACCATTTTTTTAACTAGTTTTTCTAAATTATCACCATTACAATACTCTAAAATAAAATATATGTTATCTATAGTTTCTGAAAAATAGATTAGTTTTATAATATTTGAATGGTTTAAATTTTTATATAACTCAAATTCCTTTCGCAAACTTTCCACTTGAAAATTAACTAGTTCTTCTGCGTTAGGTGATCTTTTATATTTTTCAACAACTTTTTATTTTTTATCATTTTACAGGCAAATACTTAAGTCTCGTCTTCTATTTTAGTCGCTAAATATGTTTTAGCATAACTTCCTTCCCCTAATTTATGAGTTTTAATATAATATTTTTTGTCTATTATTTTATAATTGTCGAATTTTGATATATTTATTTACATTTTTTTTTGTTATATATTTTTTATTGAATTATGTATTTTAAAATATAATAGAAAAAATTTAATATTTTAATTTAATAAAAAAATGTATTTTTATTATATATATAAATGCTGCATTTTAGTTTTTTTAATAAAAAATCGAAGTTTAATTAAGTAATTTTAGTTTTTATTAAGCTAGCTATTTTTTTTGGTATTTTTTATTTTCTTAAATTATTATTTCTTATTTATTTATAGATATTATTTTTAAATAAGACAACAACAAAATAAAAGTAAGTTAATCTATTTGTAAATAATAAAAAATATTATTTTTTTTAATAATAATTATATTTTTAAAATGTATTTGCTTTATTTTCATGGTTACTAAAATGTTATATTAAAATTATTAAATAAAATTTTCAAATTTATAAAATATCTTAAAATTTTTATATATATAAAATAATAAAAATAAATATAACAATTAGTATAAAAATAGTTAATATATATTTATAATTTTAATATTTTTTTATTTAATTTTTAGATTATATAAAAGCCAATATTAGTTTATTTTAAGAATCTTAATAAAATACTCTTTTTTTAATTAATTTTATCAAAAATTTTACTAAAATATATCATAATAATATTTTAAAAATATAACAAATTTATTTTTTAATAATAATAAATTATAGTCGATATATAAAATATAAAATTTTTATATTATATTTATTTTTAATAATAATAATCAAAAAATTTACATTATATTTAGTTATTAATAAAAAGAAATAAGAAAAAAACTATATAATTAAAAAAATTAATAATCATAATATTTAATATAATAATTTCTTTAAAAAAATAATTTTCCTAATTTTTAATATTTATTTTTTGAATATAAGAATATTAAACTTTTTATATTTTTAAATTTATATTATTTTAAATAAAGCACATAAAACTAATATAAAATAATAAAAAAATTTGAAAAGCATTAGAAAAATAGAAAAATTATAATAAATAGTACTTAATATAAAAAATAAAATAAAAAATATTTATAATAATAAATATTTGTTTAAAATATAAAAATATTAAAAATGTAATTATAATAATATAAAAAAAGTAAAAAATAAGAAATTTAATAAATAAAAATAAAAATAGATTTATATAAAAATTTGCATTTACGAAATTTCTAAAAATAATATAAGAATAATATAATATAAATATAATTTATATATATTTATATATTTATATATTTATATCTTAAATAACTATAACTATAATTTATTTTATTTTTATTTTATTTTTTTATTTATATTTTATATTGAATTTGACTTTTTTTCAGTCATAATTTTTTTTATTTTTTCATTCAAGTATTTTAACTAATAAATTTTATCAATTTTTTCATTTTTATTTATTTGAAAACTAAAAATATTTTGATATGTATTTTTTAAACATTATTATTAATTTTATTAATATTTTTATAATGTAAATATATATAAGTTAATAATTATTTAATATAAAAATTACATATATTTATTTAAAATATTAAATTTAATAATAATTCCATTTTAATTAGTTAATCTTTGTCAAATTGTCTTAAACAAAATATTTATTATTATAAATATTATTTTTTTATAGATTTTATATAATATATTTCAATATAATTAATATTATATTTCATGTTATATTATAATTTATTTATCTAATAAATTTTTATAATTTGGTTACAATTAATATATGTGTAATGATATATATATTATTTAATTATTAATTATTTAGATAGAAAATTTTTAGATATTATAATAATTTTTTATTTTTTTAAAATAACACATAAATTATTATAAATCATGTTAATTTATTAATATTATTTATTTTATTATATCCTTTTTTTTCTTTTTTTGAAGATTATTGTAAAGTTTATTTATAATTTAATAAAATCATATAATTAATATAAATATAATTTATTAATTAATATAAATACATTTTTAAATATTTGACTAATTTTTTTTGAAAACAATCTAATATAACATTTTTATTTTAAATAAATATATAATATCATATCATATAATATAATATTATTTTTACATAATTTATAATTATTATTTATTTAATAAATTTTATAAATAATTATTTAACAAAAATTATATGAATACACATAACAAAAATATATAAAAATATATTTTACACACAATTTTTTTTAAACATTTATATAATTTTGTATACACTAATTTTATTTTTTTATAATTCATTTTTTAATTTTTATATCTATTTAATAAATTTATAATATTCTTTTTTACTTATTAATTTTTTATAGCCAAATCAATTCAATTTAGTATCATGTGTAAAAGTTACCTTTTTTTAATTTTTCTTTTTCTGAATTAAATCGATTATATGTGGTTTTTATGCATTTTATATTGTATTTTCAAAAGTTTATTACATTAATATTCTTTCTTCCTAAGTTAAATCTTTTAAAATTTCACAATTTGTAAATAATAACTTTTTAAAATGCCTATCTCTAATGTTTTCTTTAAACCTACTTTTAGAATATTTATTAAAAACATATTTGGCTAAAAAAATTTTAATAATTAATAAAAATATCAATATTTTTATAAGAAAATTAATATTTAAAGCTTATATATTGCCCAAAGAATCATAAAAGAAACTATTTATTTACTAAAATAATATCGATATCATTTTTTATTCCAAATTAATTATTTTTATTTTTAATTATAATATTTTTTTTATATTTTTTCTTTAATTTATTTAAAAAGAAAAAAAAAAAAAGTCGATATTTTAAAATATAATTAAATAATTAATTACATATATGAAAATATAAAATTTTCAAAATATTAAATTTATTTTATAGAAATGCTAAAATAATTAAATTGCCTCATAATTTATTATAAATATTTTTTTTTTTTTTAATATAAAACAATAAAAAAATAAAATTAAAAGAGAAAAATAAATATTTTATAATTAACATTTTTGATTAAAAATAAAAAATTATAAAATTATATTAATATAGTTTTAAATTTAAAAAAAAAATAGGAATCTCAAAAATATATGATTATTTTAATTTTTTAATAATATTAAACTAACTAATTATTATAATAAGTATAAAGTTTAAATAAATTTTTTAATATATAATTAATTTTTTTACACATATTTTAGGTAATTTTGAAACTACTTATGAAATCTATATATTTTTATAAAACTTAAATTTAAAATTTTATTTAAAAAAATAATAATTAAAAATATAAAATTTGTTAATTTAGAAGATATAATATTTTATAAAAAAAAAAATATTTTTAAAATAAATAAATTTCATTTTAAAATATATTTTTTTTTTATGTAAATTAATATTAATAATAATTAATAAAAAGAAAAAAAATATTAATTTTATACTTTTTATACAGATAAAGTATAAAAAAAAACTATGAATAAAAAATAATATTTAAAAATAAAAAAAATTACATTAATATAGAAAAATAATATGTATTAATTATATATTATAATATAAAATAAATACTTTATACTATAATTAAAATATAAATTACTTTCTAGCAAATTTATAACAAAAATAAATTATATTTTTAAATAAAAAATGCTTTATATGAAAATATTAATTTGTTAATATCTAATACATATAAAACATAAATTTATAAAAAGATAATTTTATAAATATTTAACAAATTTAATAAAAAATATACATATATTAAATAATAAAAAATAAATTAATAAATATTTCAGGCCTTTTTCATTTTTATTAATTATTACTTTCTTAAATTGCGTCAAAATTATTATTATTTGTATTATTTTTATAATTTTTTAATTTATTAAAGTCTAAAATTTTATATTAAATAAAAAAAAAAAAAAAAAAAAACTTAAAGAATATAATGACGAAATTGAACGAACTGAAAATTTAGAATTCATTGAAGATTTATCTATTTTTTCCTATATATGATAAAAAGATTTATAACTAATTAACCCATATTAATAATTTTTAATTAAATTCGAAATTTTATCTTCATTATCATCTCCAACATTTACATTTTCTTTATTAATTATCTTTTTTTTACTTATTTTTTCATTTTATAATTTTTCCATATCTCATAATAAAAAAAAAATTGAAAAATAAAAATATTAAATAATATAATATAATATATTTAATTAATAAAAAAATACCTTTTTATATATCATCTATTGTTAACCCTTTAATACTTTATTCTAATTTTTCATTTTAAAAATCTATTTATAAATCTTTAGCTTTTAAAATAGCAGCACTATTATTACAATCATATAAAGCAGCTTTTTCAAAGCACTCTTTTGCGTTTTCACTTTGACCTGTTTTTTCAAAGCATTCTCCTTAATAAAAATATGCTTCTGAAAATCAGTTTTTAAACAAATAGATTTTTCCAAATTTTCTAAAGCCAATGAATATTAATTATTTAGGAAATAAATTTTTCCCAATATAAAATATTGTTTATACATATTTTTCTTATTATATTTATTAGTACTTTTATCAAATAAATCTATTATTAATATTTAATTTTTTATCGCCGCATTAAAATCTTATACTTTTATCAACAAAGGAATTGTATTTTATAATACTGATAATTACTAAGGATTTATTCTTAAAGATTCATCATAACTTTGAATTGCTTATTTATATAATTTTAACTTTTCCTCAACTAAACCTTTCATATAATATGCATTGGCATTATATTTATCATATTTTATATATTCTTCTAAATATTATAATGATTATTTATATTATTTCAATTAATGATATGCGTTTCCTTTATTTAATAAAGCTATATGTTATTAAGGGTCTAGTTATAAAATTTCCTCTTGACATTATATATATTCTTAATATTGTTTTTAAAATAAATAGCAATCTCCTTTTATATACAATGCTTAGATTTTATTTGATGGATTAATTGATAAATATTATTTTAATAAAATGATTGCTTAATCATATTAAGCTTTTTTTAATAAATCTTTTATTTGTTCGAATTCTTTATTATTTTAGTCTATATTATTTATTTAGTATTCTAATAAGTTTATACATTTTCTTTTTTTTTTATTATCATTTTTTTTTTTTTTAAATTACTTTTATTTTTATGGAGTGCTCATTTTATTTTTTATGTATTGATATGTGTTTATATTTTAATATATTTATATGTGTTTTTTCTGTTTTTTATTTTTTCTGTATTATATATAATAAATTTTTTGTTTATAGTTTTTTTTTTTTTTTTGATAATAATAATAATTTATATTATATTTTTTTATTTATTTAACTTTTTTTTTTTAAAAAAAAAAAAGAGATATAATATAAATATAAAACATTTTCTAATTTTTATAAATTATTTTATATTATTTTTCATAAAAAATTATGATTATTATACAATTTTTTATTTTTAATTAAATAATTTTTTATTAAAGAAAAGTTAAAAAAAATTTAAATATATTATAAAATTTATAGATTAAATAAGAGAATTTTTATTTGAAAAATAAAATATATATTCTATATATAATATATTAAATAATCTATATTATTTTAGTTTTTTTATTTTTATAAAATCTTAATTTTTTATAAAAAACTAACTAAGATTTTAAAAATTAAATAATAATATAAATAAAATTTTATTTTATATAAATAAAAATAAAAAATTTATTCTTTTAATATTATCATAAAATATAATTAAGATTTATTTTCTTTATTTTTTTTTTTTTAAGAAAACACAATATTATTAATAAAATTTAATTTATAATTTCTATTTTTATTTAAAAAATAAAAATTTAAATTTTATAAAATAAAAGACATTAATACTATCATTATGAAAATTATTGTAATTAAATAATTCAGATATCTTTATTAAAATAAACAATATAACTAAAATTTTATGAATTATATAATTTAATAAATAAAAACTTTTTAAAAATAACTAATTAAAATTTTTATTGATTCTTTTTTCTAAATTTTAAGAATATATTAATTAGTTATTTATATATTATAATATTTTTATTAATTTTAAAAATTTTATATATTTATAGAATATATATTCGTAATATCTATCATTTTTATAATACTATTAATTTTATAATTATCATTTTGAATTAAAAAATATATATTATTTAATTATCTTATTAATCTATTTATTTGAATTTTATTATTAATTAAAAGAAATATCGTTAATAATAAATAAATATATCTATTTATAATATTAAAACACATTTTTTACTAAAATAATAAAAAATAGGAGTTAAATTAATTAATTAACAAATTATTTATTTTTTAATTTACAAAAAAAAAAATTTAAATGTACGAAAACAATGAAAACATCCCAATCAACTAAAAAAATGACTTAAACAAAAAAAACCTATATATAACCTCCGATAGATTTATACCAAACCGTGTTCCCCCAAATAAATACATTCTTTTCATGAATAAAGAAACCGATCATCAAATAACCCGTATAGAATAGCATTCTTAAGCATATTCAAACCTCCTAAAGTCGACAATATTAGGCAAAAGCCTATCGACTTCATCCTAAATTTCTCAATGCGACGACCAGCAAGAAAAAAAGCTATTCACATATAAAAAAGCCAAAAAATTAATAACAGAATAATAAATAAATCTTCACTAAAACGACGACTTTTTAAATACAATTGAAAGGAACCGAAAAATCCAAAAAATGCCTTACAAAATTTTAGAAGCTCCAAATTTATAAGACGATTTTTACCTAAACCTTCTCGATTGGTCCCCTTTAAATTACCTTGCAGTCGGTTTAAAAAATACTGCGTATGTATTTTCCGGTTTTAATTCTCATATGTAGCCTCTATTTAGCATAAACGAGCCTGAACAAGTCTCTTCAGTAGCCTGGAGTCAAAGAAACAATCATATAGCTATAGGCGATTCAATAGGGAATATTCATTTATATGATTATACGAAATAAAAATTGATAAAAATAATGCAAGGACATGAATCTAGAGTAGGAAGTGTTTCCTGGAACGGTTCTTTATTAGCCTCGGGGTCTAGAGATAGGAATATTATAATAAGAGATGTGAGAGATTAGAATAATTGTGCGTAAAAATATATAGGACATAAATAAGAAATTTGTGGCTTAAAATGGTCTTTTGATGAAAACACATTAGCTTCAGGTGGAAATGATAATAAATTATTTTTATGGAGTCTGAAAAAAGGAGGGGAATTAGCCAGGTTTTCATAACATACAGCAGCTGTTAAGGCTATAGGATTTTCACCTCATTAACATAATATATTGGCCAGTGGAGGAGGTACAGCGGATAGGTGTATTAGATTTTGGAATACTTAAACTTTAAAGGAAATTAATTGTGTAGATACTGGATCTTAGGTTTGTAATCTAATGTTTTCAAAAAATGCGAATGAAATTGTGTCTACGCATGGGTATAGCCTCAACTAAATTATTGTGTGGAAGTATCCTTATATGTAAAAGATATCCACTCTTACAGGACATACTTAAAGGGTACTTTATTTATCTATGAGTCCTTGTGGGTAAAATATTGTTACAGGAGCAGGTGATGAAAGTTTGAGGTTTTGGAATATTTTTAGAGGATAAAAAACAAAGGATAATGCTTTTAGTTCACTTTATCCTTCGAATATTGATTTAAGATGATTTTTTTTTTTTGGTGGTGGGGAAGGTTTGCGGAGTTTTTTTGTTTACTTTTTTCTTTTTTTTTAATAAAAAAGATAAATTATATGTATATTTATTTATTTTTTCAAAAAAAATATAGTATTTATTTTATATTTTTTTGTATAGTAGATGTTTTATTTTCAAAACTATGATTAAAATTTTAATATTTTATTCTTTTATTTAAATGAAAAAATTAATATTATTTTTTTTGTTTAACGAAAAATATGTTAAAAAAAAAAAAAAAACTCAAAAAAATTTCTAATTTATTTTATTATATATATTTTTAATAAAAGATATATAATTTTAATTAAAAAAAAAAAAAAAGAAAGAAATTAATAAAAATTATATATAACAAAAAAAATGATAAGAAATATTTTTAAATAAGTAAATTTATTTAAATTTTAAAATGTTAGAATGAATTTTTGTATTGAAATGGATAATATAAAACGATAAAAAGAAAAAGAAATTGCAGATATACTAAAATTAGAGCTCTAAGCAACTTATGTTTATGTTTAAGATACAACAGTTGGTGGATCTTGTAAAAAAATTAAAATAAAATTTACATAAATCATAAAAAGGTGGATAAATGTATAAATTATCTGTAGAATCTCCCCTGTTTTAAGAAAGGACAAAAGTAGAATAACATTAAATGGTAACAAATGCTTTAAGGGAAATTTTAAAAGAAGTTCATGGTTTTAATCTTAAGACAAGAATTCCAGAATAATAAAATAACAATAATAATCAGAAAACAAATACTACCGAATAATAAAATAATAAAAGCAATAATTAAGAAGATAAATGATTTTAGTATAAATAATTAAAATTAATTAAAAATATTCAAAACATATACATATATATAAATTTATATAAAAAAAAATTATATAATTAATTTTTTTTTTCTTTTCTTTAAATAGAAAATTCTCTGCTTTATTAAAAATAAATTAAGAATTTTTAAAGTTAATAATTATTAAAAAAAAAAAAAAAAATATTATATTTTTGTTTAAAAGAAATTGTTAATAAAAAAAAATAAAAAAAAAAAAAACTTTTAGATATAATTTTTTTTTTTTTTTATTTAAATCATTAGATTATTTAATTTATATTTTTTATATATTTATATATAATTATAAAATGTTCTACAGTTTTATAGTTTTTTCTATTAAAAAAAAAAATTATATATTTTTTTGAATAAAAACAAAGTATAAATCTAAAATATATATATGATAATTTACATATTATCTCTTCTTTTACTTTAGATTTATATTTTAAAATTTTAATAAGCATAACTTGTATAAGATTAATGAAATAAAAAACATAATTAAAAAGAAAAAAAATTATATTATAAAAATAAATCTATATTATATATTAAATTAATTTTAGAAAAAAATAATAAAAAAATTATATAATATTTTTTATATTAATAAAATATAATTTACAATTTATATTAATATACTTTAATAATATTAATATTAAAATTTTTATAATTAACTTGTTAATGAAAACAGAAATCAAAAAATTTTAAATCAAATAAAAATATATATATTTATATATTATATTTATACTAGAAAAATTAAAATTAAATTAATATATTTAAAATATTTTATAATATTTAGCAAAAAAAAAAAAAATATAATAAATTAAATATAAAAATATTATTTATATATTTATATAACCCAAATATATATTAAATAAAATTTAAGAAATAAAAAAAAAATGGATTCAATAGATTTGTTTTATAAATATCTTCAATAATCTTAAATAAATTCTTTTAATAATTAAAAATATTAACTTTCTTTAATCAACAGAAGTTAAACAATAGAATTAAAGATAGATGATCAGTATATATATAATAATTATTTTATTAGACATATAAAATATATTTTATAAAATAGTATATAATAAAATATCAAAATAAATTAATTTTAACGAGAAGAAAATATGTAAAAAAAATATTTATTTTAAATTTATTAAAACTTAAACATTTATTTATATAATTTTTTTTTTTTTTTTAATAAAAATTATTAATATTTTTTATAAATAAAAAAAAAGATAAATCTAGAGTTAAATAATAAATTATTTATCATTTATATCTAAAAATAAATGTAGTTAAATAATAATAATTTTAAATATTATTATTATAAAATAATATAAATTTAGAAACTTTATTTTTTAATAATAAAAACAAATTAATTATATATAATAATATAAATTTATATTTAATTTTGTTATTATTATTATTTAATTTATTTAGTTTTTAAAAATTTTTTTTTTTTTTAGTTTATAAGTTAATAATTTTGAAAAATAAATTATATAGCAATTAAATACAAATATTGAAATAAATGACACCTTTAAATATAATGATAAGTAAATTATAAATTTAATATTAAAAAATAAAATTTAAATTTTATATATATATATATATATTTATATTAATTTTCTTATATTAAATATATATATTATTGTATTAGTATTAATTAGAAGTAATAACATTAATAAATTTAAAACTTATTAGTATTTAAAAATGAAAAATAAATACATTTAAATATAAATTTAATGTAATAAAAACAAAATATAAATATTTAATTAATGTCTAAACAAATTAATTATTAAAAAATTAGGGAAAGAAAAAATATAAATAAATAGGAGTTATAATTCTTAATTTATTTAATTGGAAATATGAAAACCTTAAACAAACTAAATTTAAATTTTTAGTAAATTTCTTTCTATTTATAAATTAAATAAAAATTATTTTATTTTTTTATAGAAAAAATTTGACAATTAATGATTAAGAAATATAAGAAATATCTTAAAAAATAAAAAACTTGAAAAAACTTTAAAATTTGGAATTCAATTTTAGGTATAAAGAATAACTTATATTAATAAATTTTATTACTTAACCAAAGAATATCATATTTTTATTTTAAAAAGTTGGAATAACCGTATAACTAGTCAAGGACTATCTTTTCTATGTAACTCTTTTAAAAATATGTAGAATCTAGTTACTTTAGTATTATCGTTTGAGTAAATAAAAACATTAAATTAATTTTTCCGATATATACATATGTATATATAGTTTAAACAATCAAATGAATGACGATTCTTTGAAATCATTAAGTGATGCTATTAAAAATAAAATCTTTATGAAAAATATTTATCTTAACTTTGAGTATAATAATAAAATATTTTATTCATAATAAAACATTTTGTTTTATATTAAAGATTTAATGATTAATTTACTGATAAAGGATTATCTTTATTAAGTGTAGAACTTAAAAATATGATTTAATTATAAAGTTTATATTTAAATTTTTGGTAATAATAAATAAATATTTTTTAATATATTTATATTCATAAAATAGTAATAATAGATCTTTTACAAGTTAAGGATTAATTAAATTAAGTTATGCTTTGTATTCATTAGAAAATTTAATGAATTTGAAATTATTTTTTAAGTAAATATTTTATAAATTATTTATTATTTAATAAATAGCTATAATTAAAAATTTTGTGATAAAGGAATTCAAAAGTTATGCTAATCAATTTAAAAAATGTTTAATTTATAATAAATTTAATTAAATTTTGAGTAAATTTAAATATTATTTTTAAATAATATTTTACTTTTATAGTGGAAATCATAAATTTACTGATTAATCATTTAAGTATTTTTATTTTTGCTTAAGTAATTTGAAGGATCTTAAGAATTTAAATTTAAATTTTGAGTTTAAAAATCAAAAATTATTAATTTCTATAAATTTATTTTATAATTTATAAAGTTGGAATAATAATATTACTGATTAAGGAATAATATACATAAGTAAAGCTATACAAAAAATGATATAAATAACAGATTTGGGTCTAAACTTTAAGTAGAATAAATAATATTTTTATTTTTAATATTAAAATTAAATTTTATATTTTTAAAAATATTTTAATAAAAATTCTATCCTATAAATAAAGTTGGAATACAAATTTCACAAATGAAGGTTTAATATATCTAAGTAAATCTATAAAATATTTAAATGAATTAGAAAGCTTAGAATTAAATTTTAAGTAATAATTTATTTTTTATAAAAAAAAAAAAAGTAAAAACAACTCTTTTACCAATAATGCAGCAATTTATTTTGGTGAATAACTTCAAAATAAAATAAAGATGTAAAATTTAATGCTAAATTTATCGTAATATTTTAAAATTATGCTAATAAATTTAAAATAAAAAAGTTATAATAGAAAAATTACAGACGATTTATTTTAATAATTATATTAGAAATTATAGAGATTAAAAGATATGAAACAACTAACATTATACTTTAAGTAAAAAATAAATATCTATATTATAAATAATAAAAAAAAAAATATATAATTTTAGTGAAAATGAAAATTTAACGAATAAAATATTAGAAAGTTTAGGCTTATTTATGAAATTATATAAAAATTTAGAATAAATAATATTATAATTTAAGTAATTTTTTTAGTATTTATATATTAAAGAAATATTAAAAATTAGTTAATTTGAAATTAATAGTAAAATAAATATGGTTAATATCTCTGTTTTTATGTAATAAAATATATATATATATAAGTAATATGAAAAATTTATATATAAATATATAAATATATAAATATATATATTTTATTTATATTTATTTATATTTATTTATATTTATTTATATTTATTTATATATTAATTTTATATTTAATCATATTTATTTTTAATTATTCATTTATATATATTATTTATTTTTAATTTTTAATTTTTAATTTTTTAGTTTTATTTTGTTTAATTTGTTTTTAATTTTTTATTTTAATTTATTTTGTTTACTATTTTTTAAAATTAAATAAATACAAAGTAAATGTTATAATATTTTAAATATGAAAGCATTTACTATTTCATTGCTTTAATTTTTGAAAAAAATTTAGAAAATTAAAAAGTTAACATTTAAAAGGTATTGAATAATATAATAATTTTTTTTTAATAATTATAATTATTTTAATAAAAAACTTTAGTAAATTATAAAATATAAAACAAGAAACTTATTTTTAGGCAAAATTAAGTTAGCTTATTTCTTTTAAAGCAAGATAATGATTTTCTAAAATACTATAACTAACATATAATAAATTTATAATCAATTTTAAATAATTTATCTATATATATATTTATATTATTTCATTTTTTCATATTATTTTAAAATAAAAATATAATAATTCTAAATTATATTAAAACTTTATTTTTGTTTTTTAATATTTCATAAAGGAAAAATAAAAATAATAAACTAAAATCTTATTATAAAAAAAAAACTTAAAATAAAAAATGTAGAACATAATATTCAAAAAGACTTAGAATTTATTTAATTTTTTCAAAGATTAAAAATAAGATGAATAAAAAATTTCCTAAAATTAATAAAAATATTTCGCTGATTTCAAATTTAACAATATCTAATATTACGAAATGTTATAAAATATTGAAAACTGTCTAAATAAGAAAATAGTTTCTTGTAACATAACATTTGAGACTGATCTAATGGATGAAATAACCAATTTATTATTATTTCTTAATTCTAATTCAGAACAAATATAAATTGCACAAGAAGAATTCGAAAAAGAAAAACAATAGCATTTTTCTATTTTATAATAAAGCTAAGAAAAAGACTAAAAAATAAACACTTTAGAAAAAACATTAGACAATATTATAAATGAACATAAAGAAGAAATAATAAACTTAAAACAATAACACTAAAATGAATATGATTAATTAAATTAATAAATATATAATTTGATAAATGAAAGAAATTAAACCAAAAAATAATTAGAAGAAAATTTAACTTATAACTAAACTTTAAAATAAAGAGAAGCTTTATATTAATAGAAAATTGATAATTTAGAAAAAGAACTAGAAAAATAAAATTTAAATATAATAAAAATAAAGGCTATATATAATTCGGAATTATATTAATATCCAAAAGAAAAAAACTTAAAATCAATGTTTACTGGAAAAAATATAAAACATAATATACTATAGTATTTAGATATATAAAATATATTAAAATTCAGATTAGTTAATAAAGAATTTAATGTAATAATTATACGAGATTTCTAACTACTATAATATTTAATACAGAATATGAAAAAAAATATAATAATACTTTATTACTTTTGAAAAAAAAGGCGACATTTTTTGAAGATATTGCAGATAAAATGCCTATGTAAATATTAAAAGTTTCGATTGTAAAATTCTTGTGTAAAAAATAATAGATAGGAGACTTTATGTAACCTGTTTTAGCGGAATGCTAATAATTAATAGAAGGGTATTAATCTTTAAATAATTCATTAGAAAATTCATTTATTTCTTTAAAAAAAACTTAATAAAATTAATAAATATTAAATGTAGATTTATTAAACGACGAAATTATTTAATAAGAAGAAAAAGATAATATTATTAAATAATAATAATAATAATAATAATAATAATAATAATAATAATAATAATAGTAATATTTATAATAGTAATATTAATAATTAAGGAGGCGCTTTTAATTTTATGAGAAAACTTTTCGAAAATAAAAAACCTAATACAGAAAATAATGTATTAAAATAAATAATACAACAAGAATAAATTTTAAATAAAAATATTACATCATCAATAGCAAATTAAGCAGCTTAGAACATTTAATAAGAGCTCTATATTGATACTGATATTATAAATTTATTTTGCGAAGAAAGAGAAATTGCATTAAAAAAACTTAATTTCGATATAGATGAAACTAAAAGAAAATTAAAAGATTTATTTTTTAAAATATGTTCTATTGGTGATAATGTTAAAACTAACGATTTTTTTGAAAAATTTTAATATTCTTTTTGTTTACTTTTCGTATTTTCGAAAATGCTTTTTTAAGAATGTAAGGAAATGTATGAGCTTTAGATGTTTTTATCTAATTAGTTAATATAGACTAATTTATAAAATTCGATTCTTATTAATAAATTGGAAGATATTTAAGCATAAAAAATATCTTTGGAGTAATTGAAGGAGTACTTGTCTTAAAAAGTGAAAGATATTGAAAAAAAAAATATTTAAAATGATACTATTTTTCTCAAAAATAATAAAACTATTCAAGAATTAAAACATGAGAATGATTATTTAGCTAATAAAATTGCCATTCTTGAAAAAGCTAAAAACAAGAGTGATAATTAAGCAAAAATACTAGCTAAAGAAGTAAAAAACTAAATCCAAAATAATATCGATATTAATAAAAAATATGAAAAATTATAATTTAATATTAACTTTTTAAAAGAAGCACTTAAAGATTTCCAAAATAATGACTAATAATAATAATAAATATGAAATATAATATTTTTTTTTTTTTTAATATATAGAATTTGTATTTTTATTTAAAAATTAGTAAAAATAAAAAAAAAGATATTTATTTTTTTAATTAAATAAATAAATTATTTTTATACTAAAAAAAAAAATGGATTTAGAAATTTAAGAAATATAAGAAGAAATATAAAACTCAAATAATATTTAATAAATTATAATTATTTTATAAAAATTAAATTAATAAATAATCAATAATGAAGTATTTTATTATTTAAATATTAATTAATAATAATAAAAAAGAATTTTAGATTTGTATTAATTTACAGAAAATTATTTTTAGAAAATATTTTATAAACTATTCATTAATGATAAAATATTTAGGAAATTCCAAAATAGAGTCTAAAAAGAAATAGAGGAATTATTTTTAAATTAAAAAATATCTAAATATCAACTTTTTAACATATATTATAATTATTTAATAAAATAATAATAAACATAAATAAATATTTATATTTTAAAAAAGTAATTTATTTACTAAATGTTTGAAATTACTTTTTTAGAAAATCAAAATAGCATTTTATAATTATTAACATCTTAAAAATAAGAAAAGGATTTAATAAGTATTCTTATAAATAAGATTTTCTAAATACAGACATTATTTATTAATTTTTTGGAAGATTGTCCATATAAAATTTGTAACGAATATTTCTATTAATTAATTTTTTAAAATTGCTATATTTTAAATGGAAGTGAGATTCTATAAATTGTAAATAAAATAATTATAAATGGAAATATTAATTTGATTTGCTTTTATTTATTTAATATTAATAATCAATAATAAGATATTTTTAAGATTATATAAAAAAATATTTTATAAATATAAAAATATTATTAAATTATTGGAATTTTAATATAATTACATTCTAAAGATATAAAAGAAGAATAAGAAATTAAATAATAAAGCCTAGTTTTTTCTAAAACACTATATTTTATTTAAGAAAACTAACTTCTTTATTTACTTTTAGATCGGATTATTTTCAATTTTACGTTTTATAATTTTACAGCTAAATTTCTTGTTTAATTCTTTTAATTAAAATTTGATTATAGTATTATTTATAAAAAAATTAAATATAAACATATATATAAATAAAGATAATATTAAGAAAATATTTATTTAAGCAATTGAAATTTGGAGAGGATAAGAATTTATTAGACATGCTCATTAAAATTAATAATATTGTAAAAATAAAATAAAAACAAATATATATTTTTTTCTATAATAATAGTTATTACAAATTTAATAAGAGAACTATTTAATATAATTAAACTATAAGATATTGAAAATCCTTAAATAATGAATAGTTTATAAAAAGGAATAACTTCTCGATTTGAGACATTTTCTGATTTTATATATATAAGAACATGCGCATTAGTAAAACAAAACAAACAAAAATATAATTCTATATATTCTTTTTAACAAAAAAAAACATCAATAAAAGTGTATATGGAAGGCTTTTTCAATAAAACTAGGTATGAAAATAGAAGAAAATATAGATAAAGAAGAACTGGAAGATTTTCGAAATTATCCAGACTATATGGTAATTGAAAATAAAGAAGAAATCGAAAAAACTGAAAAAGAATTATAATCTGAGTTATAAAATTCATAAAAAAAATAATATGAAGAAGAAAAATAAAAAAGTGAAAATTCAAGCCAAACAGATAGTGAAGAGGACGAATATCTTGAAATTAAATTAGAATCAACAGAAGAAAATCCATAAATATTATAAGCTCCTAAACATTTATATGATTGCTTATTAGGATTAAGATCCGAAAATAGAAAAAGATTCGAACTATCAATAAAACATTTAAATTATTTAATTAGGAAAAGTGTAGATGATTTATTTGTTATGTGGGAAGAACTAACTAATTAACTTTTAAGAATACATGAAATTGATAATTGGATTCCTAATTTCGATTTCTATAGAAAAAGAGCTTTGATAAGTTTATGTATATTTAAGCCTGAATATGTTTCAAAGTATTTTTTTTCAAAAGATAAATATTATTTTAATATTAAACTTAAAAAAAAAAAAATTAATTGAACAAATAAATAATAAATATAAACTTAATTTTTTATATTTATAGGATTATTATAGATAGATTTTTTAGTGATGAATGTTATATTGGAGATAAACATTTTACTATTTAAATATTAATGGAAACGACTGACGAATTAGCAAATAATCCTAATAAATACATGACTGAAAAATTTAATGAATTTACACAAAACGAAGACTCGAATTTTTACTTTGAAAAAATATCAACTACTTATTGCAATTATTATTAATTTTTTTAGTTTTTTATTTTTTTTTATAGATAAAAAACCTTAAGAATATGAATTGGACATAAAATAAGAATAAAAATTTAAATAAAAAAAGTAAAAAATAGAATAAAATACAAGAAGATGGGGAGAAACAAGAATTAAATTCGAAGAAGAACAAAAAAATAAAAAGGATAAAATTTAAAAGTCATATAAAAAAAAGACCTTATAATCATAAATAATGATCCAAATAAATTTTTTATAAACAAATTAAATAATTTAATATAATATTTCTATTTTCCTTTATTAATACCTCTAAGAAAAAAGCATTTAAAACTTTTTAGAAAAGAAACACTTTTAATATGTCAAGTTTTTTAATTAATAACAATATATATTAGTAACGCAAGTAAAAAAAGATTAATATATATATATATATATATATATTTATATATATATATATATATATATATATATATATATTAGGAAATTCATTATTGTTTTATAATATGGTTGATGAAGCACTTGATCTTATTGAATTATTAATAGATATTAAAGATTTAAATTTTACTAGAAATTTATTATAGTGCTTATTAAAAATTACAATGTTTATTAAAAAAGATATAATTGTTAATTATAGTTTAGTAATGGAAAAATTAATTTAAGTTTATTAAAAAATTTAAGGTTTATATTTGTTTTTAATATTTATTAAAATTATTTTTTAATTTTTTTTAGATAGACGCATATAAAATGAATAAGATCCTGCAAATAAATATTTAGTTCAATTAATTGCTAAAAATATTTAAAGTTTATTTAATATAGATTAATGATTTATAAAAATTAAATATGTAATTCAACTTATTATTTATTAATTTATTTTCATATTTTTTTTTGTATATTAGATTAATTTACATATCTTTTGTTATTTTTTTAAATTTTTGTTTTTAAAATTAATTAAAAGTTATAAATATATCTTAAAGTTTTATAAATTTTATCTTTTATATGAATTTTTTTATTACATAACAAAAGTTATTATATATATAAAAATAGATTAAATAAATGAAATATTTATTATTTTTTAAAATTTTACATAGAAAATTTAAAATATTATTTTATATAATAGTTATATTATTATTTTTTTTAATAATAAAATTAAAAAATATAATAAAAAATAAAACGTCATTAATATATTATAATTTAATAAAAGAAAACTAAAAAATATAATTTTAATAAACAAAATATTATAATTTATTTAAAATATAAAATTTTAATATTATTATTTTCATGTTATTATTGAGTTATTTAACTATTCTTAAATTCTAAATAAATCTAAAATATTTATATTATTTTCACAATAATCCAATGTTTCATTAATATTATTATTTTTTTTATCTTAAATACTCTATTTCCATTATTAATGCTATGGTTTATTTTCAAAAGGTTGATATTTCAAAGCTATTTATTTTAATCTTTACCATTCAATATCAATTAAATTTTTTTATTAATCATCAAGCATTATATTTGAAGATGGCCTTTAGCTTTCAATATTTTCATTATAAATTTATTCCTATTTATTATTTTTTAATAAATTATTTAGAATCTCAAAATTTCCTTTAATAAGTTATCCTGCTAAAAAAAAAAAAATTATAGAGGCAAAAATTATAATGTAAATATTTTTCTAATTTGATTAATGCAAATATAATTTTTAATAAAAATTTTAAAAAACATTAAAAAACCTTTATATTTCTAAAACTATATAATGTTTAAATTAAGTTTAATCTTTATCTTTTTATTAAGCTACTTTTATATTTTTTTAAAAAAATTAGTTTTCTTAAAGGTCATTTATTTTTTCTATTATCTCGCTTTTTTTTTATTCTTAAATAATTACTTTTTGGTTTGATTTTATTCGAGAATTATAAATAGGATAAAATAAAAATCCAAATATAATCATTATTAATATTTTATTATTCATTTATTTTAATGTTCTATATTATTTAAATTTTTTTATATTTTTTTATTTCTATGTTATATATATTTAATAGTTAAAAACCTAATGATTTTTTTTTTTTGTAAAATCAAAGAAATAGGTTTAATTTGATTAAAAATAAATAATAAATTAAATTTATATTTTTAATATAATCATAAATTTTTTCAAAATAATAATAATAAATATTTCATAATAATATATAAAAATAATAATATCTTATATTAATTAAAATAAAACAATAATTATTAAATTTATTTATTTTTAAATAAATAAATCAATATAATTATATAATAATATAAATATTCCTCATTTAACCTAAAGATTTAGTAAAATATCCATATCTATATTTTTCGCCATAATTACAGTGAAATTCAATTATATATACGTGTATACATATAAAATTATCTTATTCTTAATTTTTTTATATTATATTTTATATTAAATATATCATACTAGTTATGTAAAAATATTTAATTCATTTTTTAAAATTTTAATTTTATATTGCACTTTAAAATATTGTAAAGGAATTTTAAGGTTTTTAATTTCTTCAAGTTATCATAATCTAAGCATTCTCTACAAAATTAATTTTAAAATTCTAATTTAAAATTAAATTAATAGAAACTGCATAAAAAGTTAAATAATCAGTTTACAAGCGAGAAAATTTTATTATTGATTTTTAAAAATATTTTAATAATTAATCATCTTTAATTTTATTTATTTATAACATATTTTGTTATTATATATATATTTAATTTTTTCAATATTAATTATAGAACATATAATTTTTGTATTATATTTTTATGTTTAAAATAAAGTATAATTTATATTATATATACTATAATTATTAATTTAATACATATATTTTGTATATTTTTTTTTAATTGAGATTTAATTATAAATATAATAAATATTATATTATATTAAAAAACATTAAATTTAAAATAAAAATAAAGATATTAGCTAAAATTTAAAGTAATTTATAAATATATACCTTGTTTAAGAAATTAAAATATAGTAAATAAAGAAATAAATAAAATTAGTATTAAAAATAATATAAAAAAAGAGATATTAATTATTTAATATATTTTTTTTGTAAATTTCCGATAATAAATATATATATACTACAAGAATATGTATTAATTTTCAATTATTTTATTTTTAAAAAATAAATATTTTATTATTATTTATAATTATAAAATTAAAAAAAATAATAATATTTTTATATAATTTTATAAAATAAATAAATATATATATATATAAATATTTAAATAAATAAATATATATATTATAAATAAAAAGATGTAATAGATTAATCATTAGTTAAAATAATTATAATAAAAAACAGTAAATATATATATTGAATATATTATTGTATAAAAAAATTTATAATATAAATTTATTTATATTAAATATATATATATTTATATATTTTTATATTTATTTTTTATATCTTTATACATTTTATTTATATTTATAATTATTTAAATATTTTTTTTTTTATCATTTCAATTACTAAAACATTTTTATTATAATATTTTTCCTTTTATTAATAAAATAATTTATCCCATTTTTCTATTATCCTTTATTATTATAAAATTTTTTACCCTCACATTCATATATATATATATCTTATATTGTGCATCCCATATTATTATTATATTTTTTAAGTATACTTATAAACTTATAAATATATTTAATAAATTTTTAATATTTTTATACAGTATATTTCACTAAATTTTTTTTTTATCAATAAATTTTTAACACAATTGACAAAATTATTTTTTTTTTTATTACATATTGGTGCATTTATATGAAGCTAAATTATAAAAATTAATATTTTTATTTTTCTATTTATAATTCAGATAGCTATTGTTCTTGATAATATTTTTTAATGTGGTTCGTATAAAACAATATTTATTTAATATATTAAAATTAATATTATACATATGTGTAAGTGACATAATAAAGTAATTAAATATTTTCGATTTCTTTAAGTAATTTTTATTTAAAAAATTATATATATAATAACATTCTAAATTTATATAAAAATCAATTATTTTATCAGAACATACAGAATATTATTGTATTTGATAATTAAAAAATTAATCTTATCATAAATATTCTCAAATATTTTCTATATTTAAGCTAGAATATAAACTATTAAATAATATTTTATATTTTATATTTTATAAATTAAAAAAAAAATTTTTTTAATAAATTTGTTAATATTTTATAATAATATATAAAAATAGTATTAATAAAATATTGATATAAATATTTTTATATTTAGATATAAAAAAATAATATTAAAAATTAAATGTAAAATAATTATGAAATAAATATAAAAAAAAAATATTAAAATATATAAAATAATAAAAAAACAAATTTAAATTAATATATAGATATAATTAAAAAATATATGAGAATATAAAAATTATAATCAAAAATTATATTTAAAAATATATTTTGATATAATATAAAATTTTATTTAGTATATTATAGTAATATTTTTATTTTAAAAACAATAAAAAAAATATAAAAAAATATAAAATCTCTAAATTATATATATAAAACAAACAAAAGCTATGAATAAGGGTTGTTGGTCTAGTGGCATGATTCTCGTTTTAGGGTTACGAGAGGT